ATGACAACTCTCCCTAACACGGTCGCGTGAGTCCAAATAGAGAGCTTTGATTAACGTTATATACCTGCTCGGTACTCCCATCACAGTGAGACACTGGCACAACACTTCACGGGCAACAGAGTCAAATGTCACCGCATTCAAGTAAGGACATTGGTAAGTGTCGGCCACTGGCCGGTAAGTTTACCTGTGTTCCAGAACCTGTCGGAGGGTAAAGATATGATCGATGTACACTCACCAAGGTCTGAAACTTGCTTGGTTTCCTTGAGTTTGCTGTTTTACGAGCTCCAATTAGGCACCGGATAACCATGCACCCTAACATCATGGTCATAATATGTCAGACTAATTTGTCTATGGCAGCCACAAGAAGTATTGTCCCCCCCCCCTCCCACCTTATAGACGTTCCTAAGGTTAAGTCCATTAGTACGTATACGACAAAGTTAAATAGGAATGGTGACAGTCGACTTCACTGGCGAGCACCATTAGTTGTCTCCAGTTCATATGCCAACTTCCCGTAAGCCCTGACACGACTGCGTGAGGGCCAGCACAGCTTCGATTAGCGGAATATAGCTGCTCGGTACTACCATCACAGTGAGACACTGCCACAAAACCTCACGGTCGATAGAGTCAAATGCCACCGCCCTCACGTCAAGGTATATGGTAAGTATGACTACGTCCCAGGACCTGTCGGAGGGTAAAAATATGATCGATCTACTCCCGCTCAGTTCTATCTGAAACCAGTTTCGTTTTGTCAAGCTCCAGTTACGAACTGGATAACTATGCACCCTAACATCATGGACATATGTCAAACTAATTTGTCTATGGCTGCCGTAAGAGGCATTATCCCCCCCCCCTTCCTAATAGACTGGGATGATCAGTGAAATACGCCAATCTGTCGGGACAACATATGATTCTCCATACACCACCTAGTATCTACGTCACTTTAAGCAACAATTTCCTACCTCCACCCATCAAAACGTCAAGAGGCAAACTGTTAGGTCCTGCTGCTTCCTATCGTTTCACGTTTGATACAGCTTTCTCAACTTCAAGCACAGTTGCAGGACCGATATCTATTTCTCATTCAGGTTCTGGTGGGGCGCTGGGCAACTGAAGCATTGCTGAGGGTCAGCTGAACTGTGCTTCACAGTGTTCTGCCCAACGTTTTAGCCATCTCTCCTACGGTTATCAGCGTCCCACTCTTTTCGGTGATGGTTTCACTTACCATCGTCTTCTTTCCAGTATCCTTATTAAGCCTAAATAGTTGCCGAGTTTTACACAACACTGATGTCTTCACTATCTCGCTTGCTCACTTTCGTCAACCATCACTGATCGCGATCATTGCGGACTCTCATTCAATTTACGTTTCACGTGCTTTCGGTCTTCATCGAGGTCACAGTCAGGTAACTGGAATCCGTCAACTCACATTAGCCACTTCCGATAACGTTGCGGAAATCCAATGACGTTTGCCAACCCTCGTGCTTAGCTTACTAACTGTCGTTACCGCTGTTTCTATATCAGACTTAATATCACTCCAGGATTCCTCAAGATGAGCATTGCTATCATGTTCAAATAAATGATTAATTATCTCTTCCCTACATCCGTACTTGTGATGCTTTTGAAGTGAAAACAGGAGTGAAATAAGGCTGCCTACTATCACCCATGATATTCCTGATTGTGGTGGACTGGATCATGCAGCAAACAGTGGGCAGCGAGAAGAGAGGGATACACTGGACGACGGAAAAGAACCTAGAAGACTTGGATTTCGCCAACGATGACTTGTGCCTAATGTCACATAAACTTGAAGGTCTACAGGCGAAAACTAACAAGTTGACAGAAGAGGCAGCGAAGACGGGACTTCAGGTGAATATAGAGAAGACAGAAGTGATGAAGATACCCAACCAACAACAACAACAAGCTTCAATCACCATCAACGGGAGGAACTTAAAGGAAGTAACCTCCTTCACCTATCTAGGAAGCACTGTTTCAACTACAGGTGGCACAGGCACAGACGAGGACGTCAAAGCCAGCCAAGATCAGAAATACAGCAAGACAGGCGTTCATTAGCCTGAAACCGGTGTGGAGATCGACTGCAGCATGTGCAACAAGATCCGGATTTTCAACACCAATGTCAAATCAGTGTTTCTGTATGGCTCAGAGACTTGGCGCGCTATGAAAGGGATTTCCAACAAACTACAGACATTCATCAACAACTGCCTATGCTCGTTACTTACTGAAGCTCAGATGGCCAGAAATAATAAGCAACAAGGAACTCTGGGCTGGGCAACGAACCAACCAAGAACCTATCACCCAACAAATATGCAGTGGAAGTGTAGATGGACTGGGCATACACTGAGAAGGCCGACTGGAGACATCACGCGTCAGGTCCTAGAGTGGAATCCAGATGGGAAGCGACGAGTTGGACGTCCGAGGGTGACATGGAGGAGATCGTGCGAGGAGGAAGTGAGAGCTTGTGGGCTGTAGTGGAGCCAGGTTCAAAAGATTTCAGAGAACGGAGCGCATTGGAGACGTGCTAATGAAGCCCTATGTTCCATTAGGAACCCAAGGGACAAATAATAATGATAAACATCCGTACTTGACGTTCTCAACTTCAAATCGATCATAGACAAGCCTCACTGCCGTCTGTTGTATGCGACCAGTAAGGCGCAGACATACACGAGCCCGTACTACCGCATGATCGCAGTCCAAACAACTACTCCAGAAAGAGTGGCAATCCTCCACCGATCCTCTCCAACGATGGCTTATGGTAATGTGATCCATTTGTGTCCATTGTTTGTTTGATGTCACCTGACACCATGTAAGACAGTGCCACTCGCTATGTCTAAAGTTAGTGCTGCCCAGAAACAAGTAAGTGATTGGCGGAGCGAAATTGCAGTAGATCATTGTTGTCAGTTAGCTGACATGAGACTCCGTAAATACCCCCAAGATCCCTTTCCGAATCCGATTTGCTCAGCTTCGTTATTTGAGCGCTAAAGTCACCTGCCATCATGACCACATCTAAACTTTTTGCTTTCTGTAGCAAAGTTGACAGCTTCTCACAGAATTCATCCTTTGCGTCAACTAAAGAGCAGTCAGCGGGTGGATTGGAGCTGTGACTTATCGGTTTAAGGAGATGGCCTTGAATCAGTGGGTCACGGGTCCGAGCCGCCTTTACCTCCAGAGGCTTGGGCAGCGAGGAAGTATCACTAGCCTTCATACAAAATACGTACGACTGATTGCTCACAGCTAGGACGTGCACAACGCTGCTGAGCGCATTTACATTTTTTTCCGGTGAGTGGGCGCGTAGGCGGAGATTATGAATAGGTATTGGTTGATCTAACGATCCTTCCCAGTCCTGACAGATCTTTTCAGTCGAACAGCACATAGATGGCTGTTGACTGGCTTCCGGTCAAAATGCGCACTTTCTACCCTAAAGCTCAATGATATGTCTACACCAACGAGTCCACAAGAGCTAGTCACTGAGTCTCCTGATACTGGTATGGTGAATTTTGAAGACTAACTATTATGGCCAGGTGAGTTCAATTTAATAACTACACCCGAGTCTTGTATACATGTCTCATAGACAGCACACATCCGTGGCTAAAAATTTCAAAGTCTTGTCCAGCGATGTTTGCTGCCCGATTTACCATACAGTTCGGACGTTGAAAACTTCTACATTAAATCGATGCCAAGGTCTTCGGAGACTAGTTATGAGGTTTCCATCGGTTTGATCGTTTACAATGGTTGCAGAGTGATAGGTTGGGGAAGGTGCAAGAGGTTTAATACTAGAGTCAGGAGATGAAGGGAAAAAAGGTGACAGAATTGAGGAAGGTAGGTTCTGTTTGACTGGGTCTTCCGTACTACTGGAAGCGTAGGGGCGGTTGACACTCCCCGGCTTTCCACACCATGGCAGACTAGTCCTTCTAAAGGCGCCTCAAAAATAAGGGGTAGTGTGTGGCTGCAGAGCCCAAGGAACATTTGCTTAAGGCCAATGACACAAGGACGTTTTTCGAATTGGAGATTTTGGCTTTTTGCTTTCGAATCCGACTAAGAATCCCTGCTTCAGGCATCCGTTTGTCGCAGAGGTGGGAGCGTTATTTTTGGCGCCAACCTTTTTTTAACTCCCGACTCTCTTGCCAAAAGGGGGAAGGCAGCATCAGCGTGCAACCGATGGTCATCCAGGGGAAACACCTCACTGCTGTTACACTATCTAACAGACTTTTATCGAATGGTAGGAACGCGAGGAAACAAGCGTTCCACCAGCACAGCTCGTTAGGTTATTGTGACACACAAGCCTGAACACCACGTCTAAGACCAGCTATCGGCCAGAATATTGGCTGAGGTAGGTCTAAGCCGGAAAAAGGTTAGACACCGTAAGACCAAAATATGGTATCAGTTCATGAAGTATCTGACTTTTGGTCCCAGCCGTGTAGGGAAAAGTAAACTTTCCGGTTGGAGACTCTAGGCGATATGGGTGACAAACTGATGTCATTGGCGCAAATGCACCTGCACATCATCTTTATATGAATTGTCATACAGAGTCTCAGTACTGTTTTATTCCTTCTTGCTCTCTGTTCAACACTTTCTACCATCCCTGTTTACTTCCTTCCTTATTTCTCTATTTATTTCATCTTGTTTCATTCTCACTTAATGTACTAATATGAAGTGTGACAGCCTGGACTGTTAAGCAGTACTCTCAGGGCCTATGTTGATACTATACTAACAGTGTATCTGTCTGTCTATTGCTTCTGAGCAACCCAACTTAAGCATGGTCACACAATTAAGAAGATTCCACTTACAAAATAAAAATATCCCAAATAATTTATTTGACAATTTTCAACTTCATACTCATCAATTTTAGACAGAAAAAAGGAATACTTCTGATGCCTCTGATCCTATTTATTGCTTTTTGATCCAGATGTTGCCTTACTATGCATTCTCCTAAGTCTTTCTTGAAAAAAAATTACAATTAATTTGTACACAACATGTGATGGTAATCTTCTTACCTTCGCAATTCATTAGAGCTTTTGTTCGGGAGACAGGCAAAAAGACATTACCACCGAAACGCTCATATATAGGCTAATAATAATAATAATAATGACAATGCAGTAATAACACTAACAGCAACTAAAAACTACCACCTGTGAAGATACTGTTTGTTTCAATTCGTTTCGAACCACTTCTTGTACAACAATCTATACGAGAAACATTGTGATATTGAATGTCAACAGTAACCAATGAAACGTACTTCTTCTTGAAGTTTATTCATGAAAAGTAGCAGCCTAAAGATATAAAATTTAAATCATCAGATGAAAATTCGATAACGACACTAACTCGTGAATACATTTGGCATTTTATTTGTCTGTTACCTTGTCTTTGGAGTAAAAATGAAACCGATAGGTAGAGCGCAGTACAACGCCAATAAGTAGTCAAACACTCAACTAATTCCACGCCATATGTGTTAAGAAGCACGTGTTGTTAGGGAGCTAATAATAATAATAATAGCACTACTACTCGATCATCCAGATCGAGGGGCATGCGAGGGGAACTCAAGCACAGGACAGACTACGTAAAGGTTGAGTTGTTAAGCTAATGGATAGAGGTTTATATCAGCATTTAATTTATCAATAAACTATTTATAAAAATTACTTCGATAGCCCTATGCGAAATAGAAACCGAGGACTAAAAAGTCTCAAGGCGAGTAAGTCACCGTTTAATTTTTAAAAGTGTGGATCCACTGGTCCATATTTTCCCCCTTCTGGTGATTTGAGAAATAGCACAGCTATTATCCAATGTCATTGGTCAATACCGGTTCCAATAGTCAAGTTTGTTGATATTACAAGCTTGTCAGTTCGCTGGCATGGGATTCCGTAAATACCCCCAAGACGCCTTTCCAATTTGCTCAGCTTTTCATAGATTTCATCCTTTGCATTATCCTAGTTTCAGGTGATACTTTCACTCGACAACAAATAGTATGTAGGGACTACGGTTGGATGGACTGGGAGTTGATGTGTGCATTGATTAGGGCATTAAATAGGGACCATACTTCCCCACTGCAGACTTCAAACTAGCCCTGGATGTTGTACTACAACTCTAAAGCCCATCTCGATACTGCTGTTCCAATGAAGTCTTTCAAAAAACACCGCTAAATAATAAGTCATATATATCTCCTAGTGCTCGTAGAAAGTTACGCAAACTGTCGGCAAGGTACCACTGACACCATGACTTCGATGCACTCCGGTTGATTTTTAGGGTTCTTAACCACATTATGCGTATGAAGAGTAGAGAGAGTAGTGCACTAGTTAGCTCATCTAGCATAAATGCTCTCTCCGCACTCCGTAAGAAGTGATCAAACTGTATACGACATAGAATTCCTCTTCTTATTCATAACAAGGCTTTAAAAAATCTGACATATGTTTGAAATATTCAGCGGAATTTTCGCAGTTAGTTATCTGGGACCTACAAATCCCTCTTGTGATACCAATAAGGTTTGCATCATAAAAAACTATTTTCCTCTCCCACCAACACCATTAAGCACTATTGAATTCAGATATTCTAATATTAACCAAACCATTAAGATGCTAAAATGCTTCAATAGTGCTAGCACAGACGGAGTACCGTCATATTTCTCTAAATATGGTGGCCCAGATATCCCATTATTCTTGGATAAAATATCTTGTGTCTTTAGAATCTCCTATATACCCTGATATTTGGAAAGCACCCAGATATAAATCTGGTTCAAAAACAGCTAGTAACCATAGACCAATAAATATTACACACGTGATTTCTAGAATTATGGAAAGTTATTAAGAGAAGCATTTTTCAGCACATGCTAGTAACAACATTAACACATCCAGTCAACGTCGATTTCTGAAATCAAGATCCTGCATAACTTGCCATCTTGATTTCTCTAACTTCATAATTACTATGCCCGACTGACATCAACTAGTTCTTGTACTTTACCTTGACATTTTTCCAAGGCATTTGACAAAGTTGCTGTGTCTACGAATTGACTATCCATTATTAGGATGGAGACCCACGTCGACTCTCAAACAGTGGTTAAAAAGAGCCAGTGGATATCAGCAGCTTCCTTTGAATTAATGGATGCACGCGAACGCGACCCTGCAGGCTCTGAGTACAATGAGGAGCGAACGCAACTCAAATATACACTGACAAAAAGTCTACAAAATGACGGCCAACAGTGGTGGGCAGCGAAGGATAATGAGATGGAAAACGCAGCGGCGACAGGTAACAGTAGACGATTATTTAGGCCTATTAAGGAAACTGGGGCGAAAAGGTCAACGGTTAGTGAGACTAGCGGAAAAGGATGGGTCTGTGATTAACTCACAAAGAAGACGACTGGACGATGAGTGGAACACTTCGAGGAACAGTTCAGCTGGCCTCCAGCTACTGTGTTGCCAGCTATCCAGTCGGATCTTGAATGGAACACTAAGATAGGCCCCCCAACACTAGCAGGATTCGAGAAAGTGGTAAGTAACTTGAAGGAAGGGCAGCAGGTCTAGAGAGACCAGTTCCTGAAGAATATGAAAACGGTGGTCAAGGTTTTTTAGTCAGATTAACTGAAGTATTAACTGGTGTATGAGAGTCAAATATGATCCCCTCTGACTGGTCTCGATCACTAATTATCCCAATTTTCAAGAAAGGTGAGAAATCCTCTTGTGATAACCACAGAGGAATCAGCCTAACGAACCGTGTCCAAGATCCTAGGTTCTATAATTCTTCGACACCCTATTGGAGCTCGGGAACAGCAAGCCCGAGAAGACCAGGTAGGCTCCAGACCTGGTTGTGAATGTATCGGCCAAATATTCACACTCTGTCAGGTTCTGGAACACAGGCACGCTTGCCGACGCCCGACAATAGCTGTATTTCTCGACCTGAAGGCGGCATTCGACTCCGTTGGTCGAGAAGTCTTATGGCGTGCCGAGTAAGTACATCAACTTTTTGAAGGCTCCCTACTCGAACACTTGTGGACGTGTTAGACGTGGTGAGATGTCCAGGGAGCTATGCTCATCCAGTGGTGTCCGTCAAGGGTTCCCATTGTCTCCAATCATATTCAGTTTTATCATAGGTGTTCTTATGGAAATCTCCCTCTCGTCACCTGATTACACAGAGGTTGGCCTAATCGCAGAATTTTCGTCAGACCTAGAATATGCAGATGAAACAGTTTTGTTAGGTGAAGAAGCTGACAAGATGCAGAGTCTTCTGAACACTTCGAGTGGCAACTTGAGAATGTTTGGGATGCGTTTCGCACCATCCAAATGCAAATTTTTGCTCCAGGACTGGTCCTCAATGGTGCCATAGCTTACAATAGTGTAGTGGTTGAGTGTGTTGACTACTTCACTTACCTGGGAAGTAGGATCAGCACTGGCGGCTCAGGGCCCGATGAAATCTCTGCATGATACAAAAGCCTCGATTGGCTTTCGCCAATTTACACCACCTATGGTGCCGCCGTGATATCTGATTGTCTATTAGGGTGGTGTGCACTGCACAGCAGTCCGATCTGCTCTACTGTATGGCTGTGAAACATGTCCACTGAAGGTGGAAGAAATGAGAAGGCTTCAGGTGTTTGACCACCGTTGCCTTCGTAGTATAGGCCGCATTCCGTGGTGTCACCACATGGTAACGCAGAAGTCAGGTGTAGGTGTAGATTTTTGGGGAGAAGAGGTAAGTTAATTGACACGGTTGTGAATCTCTATCGACTAAGATGGCTGGGTGGGGCACATGCTACGTATTTCTAGTCACCGCCTGCCTCGTCACACAATGTTGGTCGAAGTAGGTCCAGGCTGGAAAAAGGCGCGAGATGGACAGACTAAAACATGCCATGAATATATGAAGTCGTTTACTGTTGGTTTGAGCCATGTGGGGCGGTGTAAACTAGCCGGTTGGGGTTCACAGGACAAGAGGGACCACTGGTAGTTCGAGACTGACTGTAGGTGATATGGCTCAGAACCAGCGTCAGTGACGCAGATGCTTATGCACATTATCTTAATCTCAACCGCTATACTTAATCTCATTCTTTCTTCTCCTTTATTACTTTCTAGTTCTATTTCCTCTGACCAATTCTCCTCTCATCTTCCATTTTACTGCCTTGTTACTTGATGTGCTGATATGAGGTTTTGCAACTTGGATTGTTTCGCAGTAATGACTGGTCCTATGTTGATTTTCATGATGAGGATTAGGATGATTAAATTTTCCTCAGTAATCACACTCATGTGGTAATAGTGGAGTCACATACTTCAAAACCTATTCCAGTTACCTTTAGTTGAAGGTAGCGTATTAGGTCCCCCTCTATTATTTTATACATCAATGACACTTGCAGATGCTTTACACATGGCAAGTCACTTGGTTGCTAATGGTCTCAAAGTTGTATGCACATTCAATTATGCGGAGTTTCAAACAGTAGTACAAAGTGAGCTTGACATAATATCCACATGATCTACCCCTTGGAAACTTCAGTTTAGTGGGAGTAACTGTAGATGGATACGTATGGTACTACCTCGATAGACATCTAGCTACATCTTTAGTCTATAAAACTACCTGTTCTTAAAAGCGTCTGTGACCCAGAGCTAAGGCACTCAGGTCACCTTACACTTTCTGAACAGGTTGCATCAGACACCCGAATCTTGAATCCCATTAGAATGTATAATCCGAAACTTTTACTTCAAAGACCCAAAGTTACTACTCTATAAAACGTCCTCCTTTTAGAATATTGTACACTTATTTTGAGTGGCATGGGCGTTAACGACAAACTAAAACTTTTTACATCTAGATTTCTAGGACATGACTACAGGTTTTGAAACATGACTCTAAGTCTGGAACCACTTCGGATGAGACGACTTGAAAGCAACCTCAAGCTTTTCTTCAATGTGCTACGCAAATTAAACTTACAGCCGGTGGCGAGTCCCAGTTAGAACACAGTTATTATGATCTGTACAACCACGCCTATAGCGTTACACTGAAGCCTTTTAAGTCTTCCGTCGGTGCGAACTTCTTCACCGCCAAGTCCTCTCAGATATGGAACAGACCTCCAAATCAATGCCACTTCGCATGGTCTACCACGGACGTACTCAGAGAGTCAATAGCCTTACCAGCACATCCTCACCTCCCTTTTACCTACCATTCACTGTCTCTCTCTTTAATACACCAAAATTACCTAATAATTCTTTTCTAGAAAATAGAGCTACGCTATCTACTTTCGCTTTTCAGCAACTCCCACATACTTTTTTCCTTTTCTTTCTTTCTCTCTTTACCACTACCTTACTATTCTCATTCAGGTATCTGCACAGACAGGAGTCACGACATTCCTCTAATCTTCCCAGCAACCCGTAGCTCCCCAATCACTCTACAAATTGCAACTTTCTAACTCACAAAACATCCACCTCACCAAGGCTAAAAACAAGAAAGCAGAGGGGATTTCCTCGTCCATTGTAGGAGTGAACCGAACAACTCAAACCAAGCCATTAGAACTAGATGCGAGAGATCAAAAACTATCAGTTTTCTGCGCTCGCACTATCAATATTGAATATTGGATTGGAATCCCTGAACTTAGTCGGTTACTAGGTAAATTCATTTGATAGCTTTTCCAGACTAATAAGTGCACCACCAGTATCCTCTACGACAGTACATATATTAGGTCCTCTTGACTCCTAATAAGACTACTACTATATCTGCATTGACTTTTCATCCTTAATGTTGAGGAGACTTTCTTACACATTTTCACTCCATACTAGCGACAAGCATTCTTTTCTGCACACCATAATAAACATAGATAAGTGTTATAAAACATTCCTCGTTTTAGAAAAATGTTTCAGTTCGAAATGTTGGCTTGGTTATCATTGAAGATAGGTTCTTAAAGGAACCATGGTTGCCATGATCTGAAACTAGTCCAGTTGGCCATCAGACATATTCTACCTGAAAAGTCTAAGGGAGTATACATCTGCAAAGTAGTCAGGCTAGGTAAGAAAAAGAATGAAGAACCTGGTGAGAAGAGGATTTTAAAGGTTGTTTTAGGTGACAAAGAAGAAGTGGATGTACTCTTGGGCAGCATATCTAAACTACGAAATTTGGATATTCGCATCCGACCTGACTGGCTTTGCGAGGACTGAATAAAAAGAAGAGAAGCTGTTGCTGAACTTAAAGCTCGACAAATAATGGGGAAAGCTATCTTAAAGTAGTGGGTTTTCGGGTTGTAAGGTCTTGGAAGCGAATGCTGATGTGGTAGCCCTTACTGAAACCTGGCTAATAAAGGATTTAGATTTTACGCTACTAATCGCAGAGTATTACTGTGTAAGAACAGATAGGGTTGTGGGTCGCAAAGGTGGCGGCATACCACTCTATGTCCGGGATGACGTTCACATACGATCAGTCACGTCCGAAGCATTTGAATGCGGGACCTGTGAAGTGGCAAGTTGCGAGCTGAAGTCAAAGCAAGGTTTCTGTACTATCGGGGTAATTTACCGTAGTCCATCCTGCCTTGCAAATCACTTCGTTTTAACCCATATGCGTAACTAGAGTAGAAACAACAGATGCCTAATACTTGGGGATCTGAATCCTTCACACACAAACTGGGCGGAGCTAACAGTCTCAGCATCGGGCAGTTCCCTCGAAAATGACTTACTTTTAACGGTTTCAGAATCTGATTTAGTTCAAAACGTAACTTGTGCAGCACGTTACGATTTTGAACACAAGCCATCGCTATTAGACTTAGTTTTAACCCACCAATGTGAAGACATTTCAGATCTACGACACTTCCCTCCATTAGCTAACAGCGACCATGTAGTGCTAACCGTCGGTTTCCGAACTAATGTTTGGTAATGGTACTGCTTCCTCTAAACCCATTGTATGGCGTGCAGACATTTCAAGCATAAGGGATTGCGCAGTCAGTAAGGATTGGACCATCGACAAGGACTCATCAATCGAGAACATCTAGAATAGGTTTAGGACTCTATTTGAATAGATAACCACACCATTTATTTCATGTTTGATTCCATGAAGATTCTCACATCGCCCTTCGTGGTTAATAAAGAGACTCAGAAACTATTAAGGCATAGGAAACGTTTATAGGACTTGTTTATAGAAACAGGACTTGAAACATTTAAAACTGGGTACTGTAAAGTCCGTAATCTCTGAAAAACTTTGATTACATAGTCTTGAATGTCCTACGAGAAACAGCTTGTGAGGTATTGCCAAAATTGTTTAAAAGACCGTTCGCACTCATTAGAGGGACTAAAACAAATGGGGAATTCCCTCTCTGGAGACGAATGAAAAGTCCGATAGGCTGGCGGAATCTAATCTGTTCAAAACTGAATGTATACCGGATTACTTTAGTGAAGTTTACTCTGTAGATCATGATGATGGAGTGCTCAATAGTGGTGTCACCACTGCTTTACTAATAGATAGTGTTCACAACAAAAGAAAGTTTTACAATTGCTCATTAATCTTAAACCTAGAAAATCCCCGGGTCCCGATGAGTTACATTCGGGACTGCTATCTTTGTTAGCGGACATCATTGCTGAACCAGTCAAGAATCTTTTCAATATGTCCCTATCCTAGACTTGCCCCCCTGGAGACTAAAAAGATGCCATAATCAGCCCGGTTTTTAAGGCCAGTAGTAGCCAGTTGGTGTCTAACTATTGCCATGTGAGTCTAACTAGCACAGTTATTAAGATTTTAGAAAAAATAATTCGTGATGAGGTACTTAAACATATCGAATCAACCATTTTTTGGCACCACACCAACACGGTTTTTGTACTGGACACTCCTACTTAACAAACCTTATCGCAAGAGAGGAATGGGTTGCGGCCTGTGATTGCAAGTGCCAACAGATGCCGTGTTTATAGACTTCAATAAGGCATCCAACAAAGTTTTATATTAAATTAATAGGAAAGCTCTCCTCTTTCGGGTTTGTTGCTTCATTGCGAGCCTGGATTAGGGTCTTTCTGTACGACAGAAGCCAAAAAGTGAGTGTAAACGGGATACCGTCCGGATGGAAACCTGTAATGAGTGGAGTTCCGCAAGGAACAATCCTAGGTCTACTACTCCTCTTGTTATGTATCAACTAATTACTAAAAATGCTCAACTCTTCAGTACTGCTATTCGCCGGTGATGTAAAGATTTGGAAAGCCATACGCAGTGATGCAGATAGGTATGCACTTCAAACGGATTTAGATGAACTGGTAGGTTGGTCCAAACGTTGGTGCCTGGAAATCAACCCTAACAAAAGTGAAATAATGCACATCAGTCATAGCAGTTGTTTTCAGTATTTCATTGGTGATACACTACTACTCCTAGTCTTTGAACTGAAAGATATGGGTGTCATCATTACTCATGATTTGAAGACCTCAGCGAATTGTAATGCGGCTGCAGCAAAAGGCTTCCGCGTATTATGGTCCTTCCGCAGAGCTTTGAAATGTTTTGATCTGGACATGTTCAGAATACTCTATTCTACTTACGTTAGACCTCACCTGGAATACTGCATTCAGGCGGCCAGTCCATGCTTAAAAAGGGATACCGACGTGCTTGGGAGTGTTCAAAGGGTGAGTACTAAGCTGGCGGTAGGCCTTTCGAACCTATCCTATGAGGAACGACTAGACCAGCTAGACTTATTACCACTGTCTTGCCGTAAGAAACGGAGTGATCTCATACTAGCATTTTGTATCCTTAATAGTGACTTCAGTACTAATATATCCTACTTTTTCTTCCCTGCTAGGATTGACTATCTTCGAGGGCATCACAAAAAGATTCAAAAACCGTGATCGAATCAACTTAGCGTGAATCTGCGTTTCCCCTGTCGTGTAGTCAAAGAATGGAACTCCCTACCCCAGCAAGTAGTAACAGCACCTTCTATCAACGCGTTCAAGGAGGAACTAGATCTTCACAGATATATCTTCTGCAATGATTAACACAGGCCAACTATGTCGTAGTAGTAGTATACCAAAGTAGTAAGGATATCCTTATAACTGAAAACTATTCGCTTAACTAGTCGAAATGTTGTTACAAGTGTTATCAAAACAGATAATTACAACAAACAGTAAAAATAATGTTCTTCGGACTACGACCTCGTAACTGCCAAAATCTGGGATTTATTAATTACAAAAGTAACCGCGAAAGTTACCCACCAACCTCAAGGTTGTAACGACCCGCTGAAGTGGTGGGTAGGGTTTTCTGGACGTCGACGTAGTGCGTTCAAACAAACCTGTTACATTTTGATGCTGAAGTTTAGAAATGCAGATATTAGGCTCACAGTCCTAAAATTCTTCGATATGAGCTGACACAAGAATATATGAAGCCCTCAGTTCTCCAATCACTAGCGAATCGTAAATGGTAAACGATTTGTATATTATTCATTAACAAACTTTTCATGATTATTCCTAAGCAAAATACGCGAGTTGTAACGATAGGAGCATTGGCTCGAAGCTTTATTTTGATCCAGACAGTACATGTCACGCTTTTCCATAAACCCTAGTTTCCTTCATTGGTATGAAGTTAATACTTCCCTCGTCTATCTTGTCAATTTGTGTATACCTGTCTTGCTGCCATGCTTCATTTTATGAACATCCAACACTTATGTTTTCTAGTGACTGGATAGGATGAGACTGAAGTTCACTGCCTTGAAGAAACATACAGTTTGCACAGAAATTTATTTGAACCCGCGAAAGTCGTGTGCGCCCGTCCACTCAAAAATAGATATTATTAGTGGTAGTATTCATCACAGGCTGATATCAGTAGAGGAACCATTAAAAATAAGTCCATGGTGAACACTACCTCCAAATTAAAATTCCCTATTCGTCTCAAAAATATTATTGATGTTACTACGTGGAAACAGTTAAAGTGACGAAAACGTCTGTACAGCAGCGTGCAAATTACCTCATATAGTCATGCCTGAAAAACCTGTATGCCCCTGTGAACCCAGGAATAAAGCACCGCTGTTGTTATCGCACAACACTGCTAATGGCTTGAGGTGGATAAAGAGCTGTGAATGGGAACAAATGGCAATCGTCCCAGTGATTAAATGCTGAAAAACCCAGATCGCATCGGACTACGGGTCAATCTCCTTGGTCCCTTCGGTTGCGCAGGTCGTGAAAAAAGCAGTAAGTGACTCACTCAGTGCAACTTAAATGAAGAGCGCAATCCTAACTAACTGTAAGAGCTGGTTATTACTCTTCAGGACACATTATTCCGACTCCTTGTCAGCATAGAATAGCTGGCCGCTTTCTGTCAAGCACAGAGAGACCTGTTACATCGCTTTACTCTTTCTTTCAAATACTCAGATGGGATTGGTGATGATATGCTGCACTGAAAAATTTAGCCTGCACAAGGAAATTCACTCCGTTGGTTTCAGTATTATTTCTGAATCCAGTTGCAGTCAGCCGTAGTCGGCTCCTCTTAGTCTTATTGGTTCCCGATAGTGAGTAGGGCCCGCTGGGGTTTAGCCACTGTTTCTTTCCTTCGTAAATGACGCACCAGGAGCTTTAAATTTTGTCTGTTGCTACTTCATAGCAGCATATTTGTCTGGAGGAAAGTACAAGGGCTGAAATGGGGCACCTGTGATACAGGAGGGTAAACACACAACCCTAAATTAGACAACTGAAAACTCGCTTTTCCAAAAACAAAGAGACGTAGGATGGTGGTAGTGTTGAGCCCTGATATTTGACCCCAAATTTACTTGCGCTTCCGGCACACTATTGCCTTTCTCATTATCCCTGACACCGCTGACCCCTCTGCGCCAGATAGTGTGGCTGTCAGGAGATAACGTGAGGTGTAAATCAGCAAACGAGCCAACAAAATGTTGAAATCCGTGCAAATATTCAAATGTTTAGTCATGAGGTCTCAAATACATAGACAAAATAATGTGAAACGAAAGCTACAATAGTAACCAAATACTGGTCTGGCTACGGTACTATTTCCTGGAGGAAACAGGTATTTCTCGATAGAAAATGGGAAAAGATCCAGACATAAACCTTAGTCCCACGTCTAGAGCTCTCACTCACTGTCACACCGGGGCAAACAAAACATGTAGAGTCTTGAGGTAACTTGCTGGGACTACATGGGGCTGTCTCCTAGTTGTTCACAGCACTTTGCTGACAATACACTCGCTCATACTTAGTGAGGTACTTGTTCGTCATATCCTATCAGTGAAAGGAAAATTAAGCAACTCTGGAATGGGTTGAGTGAACAGCTGCGGAACAACTGGTTAGGTACAAGACATACTGGGATAGCTTATTTGTTCCTTAGCCGCCTTTGGTAGAACGGCGACGTATCAGGAGATACACGGTTAATGAGAACTGGATTGCACACAACCGCCTTTATCTTAACAGACCCCTAGAAAACTTTCTTCGGAAACTCCACAGCAGATGCTATCTTCTGGGGTTACAGCATGGGAACGTAATGAGGAAGATCATTGCTAGCCTTTAGACGCTTACGTACCATAACCTGGGGACTTCCCTCGCAAAAGTTATCGCGGCCACTCTCAGGGAAGCCTTCAAAAGGGGGTAAGACTACCACATAGTGTTCTTTAGCGGTATTTAAGAAGCTTCTCAGTGTCTCACAGACCTTTAACATGAGCCTTATAGTATAAGTGGTATGTATTCTCATTATTGTTTTCCTTTCAAGTTTCTTCAGAAGGGGGTAAGAACATATTTTAGCCACTCAGACAATGAATCCAAGGGATAACTGTTCATCAATTACAGACAGCCTTAAATGGTTCGTGACGAGGTGGAAGAAGCTCTTACTTAACTAGCTTTCGACCCCAGAAGCAGTGGCCCACCACTTCCTCAGCTTCTAACCTATGTTTAACACAAATAAGGAGAAAAGATGACAGTCAAAAGAAAAGAAGTTAGCTGGAACCGCCCATATCGCAGGATGGCGCCAAGTTAGCATCTTAAGATTCTAACGAACCAACCTTGAGTACTTTTGTAGGAAGAGAATTTGCAGCTTGTATCGAATGTACCGTGTTCCAGGTGTGACTTTTGAAACTGATGCTAAAACCAAGGTTGAGCAAGTGATGAAGTGAGCCCACGAGGCGGTTTAGGATATCATGAGACATTGTTAATTCGCCGCTTGCTCTTCTTTATTCAAGCCGTCACCGATCACCAGTCGTCAATGGTATTTTTAAAGCCTAGGTCTTCGACTAGATTCAGTCAAGCTCTTCTAAATCCTTATCCTTTTTAACTGAAGATGGGAAGACCATATTTCCGAACCCTGGGCGGGGTTGCATGGAACTGTTAGGAATCTGGTGGACGCATTTGTGACCGAATCGTCCAATCACTTAGGAATTGCCTCTGTGGAATGAGTTTCTGGCGCAGTTAACATGGGATTTTAGGTTTGGAGGGATTAAAAGGTCCGGATCAATCTTCTTTTTCTACCCCACCGAGACTATACGCCCGACAGGCATCAAGCCTGAGGTGCACCAACTTACATCTTCCAGGGATAAGTACAAGTTCACTTTTATTGTCTATCTTGAAGAAGAGTTGTATCTAGATGTTGAGAAATCCCACCTCTTCGCCTTCCGATTTACCTGTTTTCACATTTTTCTGCGAAAATTGTCTCTGAAGTTTTCCAGGCAAGTCGTCTATGGGGGAAGAAGCCCCAGCGCCGAACCTCAGGAACTCTACTTCGTCGTTTTGTCTTCGCAGATATGGAAAAACGCGCTCGAACTCAAAACGAACGGCCACGTACATATGATGACAACCAGTCAACGAGAGGCGGGTGGCTCTGATTATCTGTAATTTATCAACGGGTCAACCAAGGTTAAAATGTACAGACGCCTAATCAAAGCCCAGCTAAATAATATCGGTTCAACCTAAACGGCCAGAGGTACTGGTCAAATAGCCTACTGCCTGAAGCGAATTAGCGATGAAAGAGTACCCTTTTCTAAATCACGCCGCTGAAACGCCAAAAGGTTGGCTGACCTTAGGTGGCTCCTTGATCCGGCCACAGGCTCCACCACCTTGAAAAATGTGCATGAAAGTCTCCAGCTGGTGACTCTTCGGTTTGCTTCTTTGACCTCATCTTTGAGTGGCATAACATGGTTTGGAGACTGTAAGTAATTTTTCAAGATTCTGTTTTACATCCGACTAACACACCGCACCGATTTTACCCAACCTCGGGGAAGTACCCTCTCTGCGAGTGGTAGTGCTTGCACTGCACTAATTCAACCGTTTATTTACCGACCGTGAGTTCAAGTGGATCAGTGGGACGTTCGTACACCCCTGAATAGGTGTTCACACATGAGTGTTCATAGATAAAGAATTGTCTAATAATTCCGCTGATGTGGTGTGACTACCTGCTAGCCCAGTAGGTCCTACTAGTGGAGAATCTCCTGTTCCGTCTTGTCTGGGAGATGTAACATACTGAAACAAACCTTTTCTCTTGTAAATAAGAATGTTTCCAGTCCTAAACTGATACCCGTATCCGATGATTTTACACGCTTTCTTGAATGTTTCTCGTTTATTCGGAGAGCCTACATATTTCTTTGGTGCTCGGCTTAATGGTCTTTATTAAACCGGGTAGTTTATGAGCAGAATTTCCTATGACCTTAGCTGATGTGAAACCTTTCTGAGTTTAATTGAGCAGAGTGGCTGATGCAGTTCATTCTTTTGTCAATATGAGTCTCTATTGGGTACTCATACAAATAGCTTCCCATTCTTTCCGCCGCACAGACACTTGAAGAGCTGGGACCTTCAGCTGTCTGAGGTTTCGAGGACTCTAATTTGAGAGAGATCAGGTTTCTCCGGCTTCACAGACATTCTAGAGGCTGATACCGGCGTGGTCACTTCCCCTGAAGGAGAGAGAATTGTAAGGTTATTTTCAAGAGTAGTTCATTTGTGAAGATGCAATTTAAGTAAGTTGGGGTTTAGATAGTGTTAATAGTTTCCATTTCCCGTCAGAGCAGGTTCCTCAAGAAGGTTGAAGATTTGGATATGAACAGAGTTGCTGCCCACACGAATGGGGTATGCGAAATTGACCCTATGGAGGTTGAAACCTCATAGCATCAGAATGTGTGCACTCCTGCTTGAGAAAGCAACTAATTACGCCTGCTGCTCGGTACCGTAATGAGATCCTGCAGGTGATTTCTACAAGTGGCCCCCCAATAGGCACCCGGTGGTCCTATACCACCTTATGGAGCAGAAGGTTGACTGCTGAAGACAGTCCGATTCATAAGTGTGAATTTCCTGGACTGTCCATCGTATATGTAACAGACAGGTCCTGGTCAGAAACTTGAGGAGAAACTCATGCCTCAGTGATGGCAATAAGATGAGATCTAGTCCTTTCACTCGGTTCTCGCAGCTCATCGAGTTTATCATGCATTTTTTGCGCACTGGGACAAAAGCAATTCATATTCTCTGTTTAAGACGTTCTTCCTGAGACAATGCTAGCTTCCAGTTTGCTGACCAGACCTCAGGTATAAAGGCTCGAAATGTTACCAGGAGTGGCTTACAGGGCTGTAGGTTCCCAGCCTCCTTCCTTGGTTTCGCCTTCTGACCCAACCGGAGGTTCGAGAATCCAACACCAATAGTGCGAGTAGAGGAAACTTGTATTTGGAGGAAACGGAGCTGCTGATAAGATCATCTAACCGTTCGCAATTCCTGTCTTTGAAAGCGCCTGCAAGTAAGTGTTAAACGTTGCTCAAAAAGTGTTACAAATAGGGTGACTGGGGAATGAGGAAAAGAGGAGTGAAAAGTATTTATGAAAAGATAATTGTTACCGGTAATAATACGGGGGAGAGATGGGTCTTATTGCAGACAATGGGGTTGTGGAATACAGGGCTGGAAGGGCGAATCATCGGTTGCTACTGACAGATATTCACGGGAAGCCATTTGCGCTCATTTACTAACCCAGTAGTTATTTGAAGGAGTCGACTGATGTAGCTGTGGTTACTTCCTTCGGCAGCGAGTTCCACAAGACACATACTTTGCGGAGAAGAAGTTAGATCTCACTCTCGTCTTTGCCCTACGGTGGGGTATGCTAGTGGGGTTTCCATGGGACTGTCGGTTTTGGACCGATAATGTTGACCTATATCGCTGGCCCATCATATCTTGTTTTCACATCAGCGTTCTTAGACACATAAAATACTCGCCTGCTTGTTGTAGACACAGAAGTCATCTAGATGGAATCTTATTCTGTCCTCATCCTCCACCTGAAACAGCATACTGAATGTTGGACAATGTAGTTGTTTGTTTGAATAGCGGGTCCGCTTTCGATTCTGTTCTGGGGTTAGTTGGTTTATTTTTGTTTTTTGCACACCATCTTCAAAGCCAGGAATTCGTGTTACATATTGTCCACACTTGTTCACTGTCAGTACACTTATTGTCATGTTGGATAATCGCTTTGGTATCAGTCCTATGTGTGTCACCGACTAACGGGATTCTGCAGGCGCATTTGATTCCACATATTAGAGCTTTCAAACTGAGATTTAATCTCAACGAAGCCAGTTTCCTACTACGCACTATCCTAACAGGTGATGTATGTCTTACGAGTTTTATTTCGTTAGTACGTACGACAAAGCTGCCGGTCTTCGCAATGGCTTAGGGATTCGTTCTCGTCTTAGAGGTTATGTCGACTTAGCAGGAAATTCTCAAGGATCATTCCGACGATTCATCATTTTGCATATACTTTCCTAGTTATAATCGATTATAGTCTTAGTGTATTTTAACATGCTCAGTTCTCACTAGGTGAAAAACGTGAACCCATAGATATGTAACTTACTCAAGACCAGGGGTTCTAAGTAAAATGTTGTGGAGATTTGCAGAAATTGACTCAGTTTGTTTGATTTGTCACTGACAGCTGGAGCAGTTGGCCATATTCGAGTGACGAGTACCAGTTGGTATAATTACTACTAGAAGTATATCTCTAAATTACTTACCATCTGAATTGTTTAAACTCATAAAATATTTGTGAGTAAAAAATTGCGACTTATACTTCACCTTATTGACTCACAGTATGTTGGTCCAGATCTCTGGGTTTTCGGACAAAATGGATATAACTGGTAACAAAAGCCTTAGGCAAAATCAGATACGTTGTGATCGGATAGCATTGCATGAATCCCAGTTACTTTAGGGAATGCTTCGTTCTTTGATGAAAAAGTTGGTAGACTGAGTTTGTTAATCCTCGCAGTAAAGACCTACCTTTCCCTTGGATGTGTTTGCCAAAGTAGTTACCGCGTGTTTCGGGTAGTGACTTTCAGTCGTTGAATACTACAGGGGACCGGTACTCCGTTAGATTCAACCTTTGCCTCTAGACCGTTTTTGCTAACAAGACCTGTCACTGGTTCAGTAATAACCCTTTAAACCCATTCTAAAATACCACTCTTCCTTCCGAAGCATGGATGTGGAACTCAGTGAGGTCTTGTATACTTGAGTTACGAGGTTCTAAACACCTACATCAAAGCATTTGAAATATCTACAAACCGATTAAAGCGTGCGGAACGCCCTTGCAGTCGTCTTAAGGTTGCGGCTTTGTTCTGAAACTTAGGGTATCGGTAGACCATTCAGTATCCACCTGAGTATTACTCGATGTGCATAACCGCTTTTTTACTGGTATCGACTTCTGGTCTCTATCGTAGGACTACTCAACCAGCCCATTAAGATTAATTTGGAGTGCGGACCTGTCACCATGAGTGACTCTCCATATCTGGTTCAGTGAATATTAGGGACTCGAGTATCTTTGGTATTTCATCAGCATGAAGAGGGAAGAGTAATGGTTCAAAGATATTACCCTGAGGAACACCACTGGTGATAGGTCACCACTCAGACGGTATTCCACTTACTGTTACTCCTTACCTACTGTCGTTTAAATGTCTCATCCAAGTTTCGACCATGTCAATATCGGATTTCTGAAGCTTCATCAACCCTTTGAGACACTGTCAAATTTTGCTGAGATCAATAAACGTCACGCCCACAGAGTTTGTTGTTCCCATCTTGAACCCGGTCTTCCCTCACTAAAAGTAGATTTCAAGCAGTCTGAAAGGCGTGTTTCTCTTGTCAGTAGGTTGTTTCTTTGTCTTATCGTTTTATCACGTAGTAACTTCGTTGTACCAACAATAATGCTAGTAGGATTAATAAGTCGGCAGCTGGGGGATGTTGTATACTACCCCGAAAACGGGACTAACTATGGCATCACCCCAATCCCCAAGCCGATGTGCCTGAGGTAGGGACATACCGAATAGCACAGTTAAGGGCGTACTAACAATATCAGCCATCAATGACTGCCCTAGAGTTTATTTTGCCTGGACCCGGTGACTTTTTAGGCTTGTGAACAGTTCAGGAAGTTTATAACTTCAACAGTTTTCACTAGGGGAGTGTCAGTAACGGTACCAATATTCAGCCCCATGAGGATTGCCATAAATCTCTTGTCTGAAATATAGTATCTACTTTAGCTAGGTATAATAGCGCTTCGTCTTCCTCTTCACACTGAAGATGCAAGACAGGGACCATCTCTTGTAAGAATAACGGTTTGCGATAGATTAAATAGTCATCAAATAATGACCTCATATGCTCCGTGACGTGGATCGATGATCGATTTACACTTATTTCTAACCTTACAGTATTCCAGCTTTTGGTATCTGTCTCTATGACTGTCTCATGGGCGTGTTCTCCACTTTGATTCTGCCTATCAACCCAAGGTTGTCTCCGAGTATTCTTGGACCTTCTACTCTTCTCTACTAAACAACCTACGTTACGGAACCAGTCGGTTGGAATAGTATGACGCTTAATCGCTGATATACCACCTACCTCCTCACATTGATATGTGAAGAATAGGTCCAAAACTGATGGCTCATAACGTTTGGGACACTACTCTGAACGAATTTGCACTCTCGAACAGTCTAACAGAGATGGCTGTCAAAATGTCTTCCTGATTCAACGACGGTGATCTCTCATCAGTTACAGAGTTTAATAAAGCCCCTAATAATATATTTATTGCTAGTACCCTAACTTGATGTAATTTAGGATGTGATCATCGGAAAAACCTTTCGGACTACGGCAAATTACTCATATTGTCACAATACCTTGCTTAAACTTGATCTCTCAACTAACAATCGTACACGCGCCACTGCAGTTGACTGAAAAAGTTAGATGTATCTGCAGGTTCTCGTAAATACATGGAATTACACCAACGTCTTTACTACTCATTACTGTCCTTCCTAATACTTGCATAACGTGGGATGAATAAAGCAGCTAGTCATATTTCGTGATCCCCATTACACCCGGTTTCAAGCACTCACCCAGTTCAGATATTTTATTCCTGAGGCTACGAGAATTAATGAAGCAGATAGCTTGGTTATTGGTACGGACATTCGACTTAAGATTACTGATCTTAGCATCGACTGCTAAGGCTTCACCACCCTAAAACCCAATTCTTCAGGTTTTCCCTTATCTTGCCGACCTTCAAGCTCACCCGCGGCCTCCGTTCTCTTTATTTATGTCCTCAAGCGACCAGTCTGCTGTATACGTATATCCGTATTCTTAACCTTGTGCGTGTATCTAGAGACCTCACGCTCTTCATGCGTATTCGACTCATGCTATCAAAGATGTGCACTCAATTAAATCTAACGTGCTGCAAACATCAGCCTGTGTTTGTGGATTTCTCTCATGCTTCACTATGGTCAGAAATACAGCAACATTAGCATCTTAGCGTGAATTAGTACGACATTATTTAGAATTGGTGTTTGTCTTCCATTTCATCTGAACATCCTCACTAGGTAAAATTTCGAAATTATGCCGTTGCTGCCTACTCATATAGTTCAGCCGTCTATAAATAATAAGTGAAAGTTTGAAAGCGTGTAGTTGTCTCCCTACCTGGTCACTCAAACCTGGATTTCTACTAAGTATCAAAATACATCCTGATGATATACACAAAAGCGTAAGTTGAAGCATACAGACATTGGTTTACAGTCCACTGGCAACGAAAATTCTTACCATCAATCCCTGCATCATTTGCCTCGCAATACAAAAAGTTTGAAAACCAGAAAAGTATAATCGGGCTACCTAGTTTAGTCAATAGTTTCTGCTCGGTCAACTAGTTTCCACTTATCTTGCAAATTTGTGTCTCTTCTTTGTGTGTCAAATAGATATGACAATTATGTTCGACTGTTTTAGTCTAAATCCTTCATTTTAACGCGTCATATGATCAAGCATACCCGTCGATTTTCTATCACGAAGACATGCGTTAGCTGACGACTGATATTCGAAATGTACAACTACATTCCTTCAAGGATGATAATCTGTGACTCACCATTTAAGTAACATCGTTTTGTCAAGTTGCTAGTGACTCCTTACTGGACTGCTGATATCATGACGAAAATAGGTTTGGTTGTCAGAATTCAATACATCATAGAAAGCAAATCACTGGGCCGCTTTGAGTAATAAATTTCTTTAAGTACTGTGTAGCATGGTTTTATATGAATTCCTGTAGCAACCCAAAGTTTATTTCGTTCATTTTAATGTATCTTGGCGTAGTTGTAGCTATCAATGCTCTTAAATGAAACGATGTAACCTATTTTGGTTAGGGGTAGTTAAATCCTTTTTTATTCTTCCTTTTATCAGTTATTTCATTCTTTTAAACATATTGATATATCTTCTTTTAGCTCGATAGTTTTGAAATGAACAATTATACCGGACAGTATGGATATATTTTCCCAATGCATCCAACGTATACTTGGGGTATGAATTTCGTTTTTTTTTACTTTTTGTTTTTCTCAACATTTTTTCAATAAGATCGTTGTTCAGCTTCAATTTTTTCCTCTCAGCTAGATTTTATGCAATGCTTGATCATTTTACAATGAAAAGGTGATCATGGAGCAAAACAAAATAACCCGATTCATTTGGCATGATTTTAAAGTTTTCTAATTCTCACCCAACATCAATCGAATAAGTCTGCATATTTCTATGTCCGTAGTCGAATTGCATTAGGTTTTGTTGAACCTGATTAGAATCTTGATCTATCAGCTTTTCTTACTCCAGACTTTAGATCTAATAATGTACCTTACTCTGATCAACATCATATTGAATTGCATTTGTGTGGGGAAGCCATTGTTCATAGCCAGTGGTTGTTCACAATGAATGTGTCAGACTCAACCCATAAAAATTGCCGTTAGTTTCGCGTAACTAAGGATATACTTCATGTAATTCTACCAGTCATAGATACTATCCTTCAGAGACTATCAAAAAAGGGGTGAATGAAAATCTATTCATGAATGAGATTTGCGCCGTTACCCTAAGCAACTGTAATGTGCGCAGCCACCTTCAGACTTTGTTGACTTTTCCCAGGTAGTTCGCAGTTTTCTTCCATTATCGAAGCCCAGCTGTTCTTACTAACTTCGGTGAACAACGATTGAGACTAACAAAATACTTTTCGGTTCATGCTCAGAATTGGTACTTCAGCTTGGTTATTATTATTTACACATCAAAGTTTACTGGTTATCAGTTAAAGGGCACCTAGAGACTGGTTGACCTCGAAGCTCCAAACTTTCCATTTATCACCAGGAGATCTCATTATTTTTGTCTGTTCGAGTCATCAGGTTCATGGCTACTTCCTGCCACTCGGTCCTGGATTGGAATATCTCTACCCAGAGTTTTAGCAACTGGGCACCCCGATTGATCCTCAGCTTGCAAGTAATCAGAAACGGCAAGCGTAGCTTGTTCACTGACTGTTAGAATGAAAAGTGCGTTCTACGAAACTGACGAAATTCTTGCCTGCACCACAACCGTAGCGATAAACTATCGCAAATAATCGAAAGCTTGTACAATTGAGTAGTTGTAAGATTTCTGGTGTACTGATGAAATTTCTGATCATGTATTGAAAGTCAGAGTGATGTACGCCAATGCGATTTACGTTTGTTGCCACTGGGACGTTCAGTCAACCAGTATCAACATAGGACTAGGTACTACTGTGTAGCAGTCCAAGTTGCCACACCTCATATCAGCACATCCAGTAACAAAGTAGTAAGATGAAAGAGAGAAAAATCCATGAAAAGCAGTCGAAAGCACTAAAAAAGACGGAGGAAGAATTAGGAAAAGCTGAATTCAGTGTAACGATTAAGATGATTGTGTATGAACACATCTGCGCCACTGACATTGGTTCTGAGCCATATCGCGTATAGTCCTTGATCAATGATTTCAGTCTGCTGTTACACGGATCCCAACGGGGAAGTCCTCATTTCCCTACACGGTTCAGACCACAGTCAAAGCTTCATGCGCTGATGCCACTGTTTTAGAATGTAAGTTTGGCTGTAAGTAGTCTAGTGTACAGTAAATCTGTGCAGATAGTTCTCGACGCACTAAAAGCTAGTCTCCAAGCTGTGGATATCCAATATTTTTGCGTGATCTATCACAGTAGTTGCCAAAAGATTGCTAGCATCCTGTGGAAATGCCGACTAATTCTAAGGTGGAGCAGGAAGCTTTTGGGTGTGGCGTGAATCGTCATTCAGTAGGTAAAAGTCATATCGAAACACTTGTTTAGATGGTTTTGACATGCCATAACGTTCACTATTTGCAAGCCCTAGATTTGGTTAGAAGAGGCAAAGTGATGGTCACTGTTAAGATCGTATTGGGTTTGCATCTGTTTGTACCTCATAACTACCTCAATGGGGTCCTAGAGATCATGACTTCGAATTAAAACCAGTAGTGGTCATATTGCGGCTTTCCTGCATCTGTTATCGAAAAGCAGAATGAGACTAGTTAATGTCCCTTTAAATAAATCCTCGAAATTGTTTCTTTAGTAGTTCGTCTTTTGCTTACTTTTTCTCTACATCATCCGTATCACTGATATTTCCCAGATGGGATATTTTGTATGGCTCGCTTCTTGGTACCCATATCGCATCGTCTGTGTTTTGTAAATAATGGAGAAAAATTCATTCAGTTCTATCGCGTGACCATTAGATGGAACAGCGCCTGGGTGACTACGAAGTACTGTTCAGCTGATACTAACTATCCAGCTCAAATAGATGTTCGTACACCCATAGGTGTATGATTTCTTGAACCATGTCAATTTTTGAGGTTCAGCGTCCCATCTCTCTGTCGATACGGATAACTGCATCCTCATGCAGAATAACCACCAACCGAATGATACGAAGTGGATACGTTTTCATTTTCGAAAATCACATCTATTGACTGATACGACAAGGTTTTAGTTACTAAAGATTACCGTTTATTTCAGTATAAGATCGGAAGTTGACTGTATAGTTTGTCGCAATACATTCTCAGGAGGTTGTGGATGTCTTTCCTCCTTAAATCTAAATTCCTGGCATCAGTAAGAGAGTTGGGGTTCTTGAAACTAGAAGCGTTGATTCTAGCAATGGAAGAGAAAATTGAAAGAGAAAACGGGATTTCTGGCCGACCTATAATATCCATTGTTTCTTTCACTCGTGTTTTTAAGACTTCTATAGCCTGCATGTATTAATGAAGCTAAACTATAGCAAAGTACCTGACTGTCACACTTCATTTTCATTGTCTGGGTAATAACCAAGTAGCTATGTATTTCTTTTGTCCCCTTTGAGCTAGAATTTTATGTCATATGTTGCTTCATAGGAGGTACTTATGTTGTTTTTGCACTGATTGACGTTACACATAAACACTGGTCACTAGACCCCATGGTTTTTTGTAAGTATTCACCAACCTTTGGTTTTTTCTCAAGTGGTTAGTGTCTGTTTCGAAGTATTGTGATGGTGGGAAGTTACTAGTCTCATTGAATTGATTACCTATTCGCCTTATTGATGCAGTATACAGTAGTCTTCTAGGTTCGAATCATAACCTCCATGTCATTCTTGTTGGTTTAATGGTACATTCACTATTTGAATTTATTTTCAGGTGCTGCAAACCAAGCGCATTCAGCGATGCAAGATCCACATCTCACATACAGTTACGATTCCACTAAGCAACAACCTCTTCCTTATGCTGAATACATGGGACCTCAGGTAAGTAAAACAATCTTGCTTCACTTGTCAAATATTTCCACTACTATAAAATTTGTATCATCTGAAATCAACTACTCAGAGATCTTTTATTAAGGGTAACTACCGCATATATGTATGCGGTAGTTACAATTAAGTGGAGATGTAGCTCATTGACTCAAGCAGTTGACTTTTCACCCATGGGTCTGGATTTCAAATACGCCAACTACTTCGACCTATACGACCACGCACCATCATAAGCCCTCACACAGTGTGGCGTATAGCTTGGTTAGTACATGAACATGTGAACTGATTGAGTTGTATTGATTAATTCAGACATGTTATTTCTTTTTCAAGAAATGCTAATAAAGGTTTAGTTCTTTAAACAAACTTTATATCATTGAAGTTGTTCGCTCTTTTGTAAATTCAAACTCATGTTTATTGTCCATTCATGTGTTGTTCTATTAACTTTCCTCATAGCTCTTTTATCAAATTACTTGTTCATCATATTAGGTGTGCATTGTATATTCACCTAGTTCTTGACTGTATTCAGGTCTTTACCGTCAAGTAATCATCTCAAAAATATAGATGTCATATCTTAGTTATTGTTTAGAGAAAGAATAGGAAATTAGTTCAAAGTAAACACTCTAGATAAGGTCACTTAATGCATAGAATAGTAAGATATTCAATATGCAGCAGTGAAATAGCCTGTGGTGGTTCTGTGATTGACGTCAGTCCGACAAAACTTGCATAGTAAATCATTGATTTAGGAGTCGCTCTTTGTGGGGCACCATAGCATAGAGGAGGAGGTAGAAATGTAATGCACTACCACCTAGGAATGCAATGCTTACTCATTTTTACAATAAGACAAAAGAATGTTTATAATTACCAAGTTTAAGTCACTTTCATACTCAAACCAACTATTTCGATCTCGGGCAACTGTATAGTAACATCATAATTCCTCATGTTTTGTTATCCATAGCTTGTAACCCAATGCACATACATGTTCGAGGTGGATTGATTTTCAGTTTTTACACTATGCTGCACTATACTATTGTCTAAGGTGTGAGTTTATCGTTTAGGATACGGTTTGGATAAACCTACACTTCGCACGACACAAGTTAATACCTAATAATTTAACGAATAAACATAATCTCTTAACTCCATTATAATGAGGTGTGTTCCACTCGTACTGACAAATAGTAGCAGCGTAATATCAACATCTTACCCGTATCGTTTCAAGCAGGATAGCGTTCGTTGGTGCTTTGCAAGTGAATCTGTGCCTGGATTGGTTTAGGGAAACGACTTCGAACAATGGATCATGGATTCTAACACCGCTCCACCTATCGAGGTTTGGGCAGCGAGGTAGTATCATCAGTCTTCAGACAATAGGTGTGGCTCACTGCCTACTGTACGAATGTGCACAAGACTGCAGAGTGCATTATCTGTATATTATATATAGACTTCTCAGGTATGCGATTTTCTCAGCTATTAGGGTTGATCTTACGTCTAGGATAAGGGAAGGTGGTCAACTTATTCACCCATTTGATTCATTATTGTCAGACGAAAGGAATAAACCAAGTTTCGAATCAGTTGATTACTGGTTAAATGTTGAATATCTACGCCATAGCTCCAGGAAAAGTGCAAAATTTTGTCATTCATCAATCACTATTTATCCATGAATGCTCAACAGTTTGCGGTTTTTGAATAAAGTGAAATAATTGGATACAGTTATATGTGAAACCGCAATTGCATCTGATTTTTGAAAATTGCTTCTTTTAGTAATATCGATGTACATCCATTTATTGCTTTCGAGTTCATGAATGCTTTATAATAAGTCTTGAAGAAAGTTGTTTTGGAATAAGTCTACACTTCTCTTAATAAATTTCTCTCAGGTACAAGACTATGAACCACCCGTAAAGGATTTTAATGGTCAGTATGGTTATCATACGAATTCCACACCTATGCAATCTGCTTCAACTTCTCAATGGAGTAAGTTTTTTGCGCCTTTTTCATACTTTCATTCACTCATATATGGGGATAAGTTTTCCTGTATCAACACTTGTTGACGAATAAATTGAGATGTATAGTATAGTGAGAAGCTATGGCTCAGTCATCACCGTCTACTATTGACCACAGGCTTACATGTTGCAAATCTACTTCACTTAATTTGCACAACCAGTTTTGCTTCTTGGGTAGCGCAACAAAATGTATAAGAGGCTAAACTATAATTAAATCACTTTCGAGATTTTCAATCATAGTCTTTTCGACGTCAACGATTTATTGCTTCTGTGATGAGTGCCAATAAAGCCGACAGCCAAAGACTCCCCCTTGTTAATTTTCCAGTATTCATTCACCAGGTACTGTAAAACAGGGATATACTGCTGGTGCTGTTAGCACTGTACACAGCAGAGGTATCCCCACTTGATAAAACTGTCAAAGGGTTAACGAGGGGGTTAAATGATGAACAAAGAGAAACTGTCCAGTTACATCTTTAAAACGCCTACCCCGTTGACGAGGCTTGTAGTGATATTTGGATCTGATGAGCATAGTAGATTCACTAAGGAATAACTCGAGCCACTCAATATGTACCTGTAGCATTTTCTCCACGTTACACTAAAAAAAGACCCAAAGTGAATTTTTCTTCAATATTATGTTCCCGAGAGAACATAATACGCACGCTTGACTTACAGTTGACTTCGTACGGAAGATCCACCGACTCGAACCCTGGACGAAATAGAGACAAGTAGACTGGATGGGGGAATGTAATTTCTATGAGAAGAATAGTTTTAGTCCAAAAACAGGTGTGTGCCTATATGCATACATGACATGATCTTGACCAGAATTCGGAACTTTAACGTAGTAAGAGTAAGTGTTGACCAATCAGCGAATTACCTCAAAAATAGAGGGAAATAAACTACTGGTCATGCCTTAAACCGCTCGGAAACTATAATTTACAAATGCTTATATTAATGAATGATGTTTTATGCAAATCTTGGGTCGTCCAACACAGCTTAATAGAATTACTGTGGAATGAATGTAATAATCGTTCCTATCGTTGAATTACAAAATTTCCATCTTCATTTCATTGGATTTTGTAAATATTATTAGGGGAAGGTATTCGAAGTTGTGTATTATATTTTATCTTAAGCTGGATAATTTTTCGTCCCATGATGATAGATTTTTACGAATAACACAGGGAAGCACTAGAGAAAATCGGTTACAGTTGAAATTTGAGCACTGTGATCGTTTCTGTAAAGAGTCTAAATCAATCCAGTATATGTTCATTTACTAGGCTACAAGTCTCTTTTTGTTTTGAGAGATTACAGTTACTACCTGATTACCAGAGTTTGAGTAAGTGAAGTGGGGTTGGAACGCCGGGATCCAATGACTGAAAATCATGTTCCCAACCAATCGTATCTCCAGGCAATAGAATTTTCTTTTCCTTTGTGATATGTATCATAATGAACCACCGGTATTTTCTAAGTCAATAACTAAGTAAATATGACTCTTCATAGCTTAAATTGTCAGATTGTTCAGTGTTATCAATGACTAAACTATTTATCTTTTACAGGTTTAAATCAAATGCGAACCCTTCATTGGATTCAAGTTACTGGGGTGATTCTCGGAATGCAAGTCTTTCACGACATCAATCTTCTGCACCACCGATACCTGATCAAGTAATTTTATCCTATTATCACTTTAACGTGCTCATATTTCAATACTCTATCCTTTAAGTAATTTAAGGTGATTCGTTTTGATGTATGAATGTGAAGTTAAATAGACTTCATGCATTTTTAAACCTGAAAAACGGTTTTTCACTTTCTATCCCATTCCTTTTTCTAGCAGAGATTTCACATTTCCGTTTATCAATAAATTGCCATCAGTTACTTGAGAATAACGTTAGTTGTTTGTCTGAGAATTTGCGCATAATCAGTGTACAATTCTGGTATCTTCAATTATTCGATTACTGTTTCTTTTGTGGTGTAACTTGCATGTATATATATTGGAATCACCTTGTGAGTTAGGAAAGCAACTTAGTAGATGAGTCTGTAAGTCTTCATTGGTTGATATAAACTGCTAACGTGTTACGCATACCCAACCACTATCTACTTCAACAGGGAGTTCTAACTATGAGGAAGTTACGATTGGTCTAAGCTGTATAGTTGAAGTCTGCAAGGTAATCGAAACTTTAGACTCAGAATTGATCGTAGGGATATAAATCAGTCTACGCCTTATCTTCTTTGAAATTGTTATATCACATTTTACTGTATGGTCTTTCGCTCCTGGTTGTCTCATGACTCTTCGAAAATTTTGATTACATTTTTGCTGTTTTTTTTGTATATGTGTGTCTTCTTTCCTCTTCTCTTTATGTTCCGTAAGGTGTTGCATTCTTATGTGATAGTGCTAGGTCCTATGTTAATAATGTCTGTTTATTGAACCGCCAAAGTTGAGGTTACAAAATGATGAGTTCGAGAAACAGGTTAACACTGAAAGTGGTTTCAGTTTAAGTTTCTTTTACCAGCTGACTATTTAAAGTCATCAGTGTGTCCTGAGTTGTATCCTTACTACAGAACGAAACAAATAGAGACTTCTTTATCTGGACAGTATTTGTACTCGTTACAATCAACATTGCACGTAGACGTGTGACCCGCAGAGCAGTATTTTACTGGTCACTAAAATTATGTCAGCACTTATTACTAGATAACATGGAATTCGTTACTCTCTGTTAATCGATCTGAGTGTGCTATCCACTCCCATAGATGATCAGTCATATTCTGAACGGGTCAAAGGTTGCAGCTCTGGTTATAGCACTGATTGATTCCAGTGTTAATCTCTACGGGAAAATCAGCTACCTCGGGGGGGGGATAGATGCACTTTGCTGATAATCAAAACCACACTACATAAACTTGTACGAGTTACCGAATTGTAACGTTAGATCAACGGTTGTGATGGGTATGCTTGTCTATAACTTACCTATTGCTACTCTGAAACAGTATTCATATTGAGATGTAACATATTTTGTGACTCTGCTTCTAGCCTTCAATAACTATCAGAGTTACTAAGCGGAGTATGACTCAGGTACTTGGACAGCCGACTACTGCCACTATCTGTTTCGACCAAGTAGTAGTATCACAGCGTTCATCCACAACTCAGCCTGCCTAGTGCACTGGTCGAACGAGGTTATCGAGTCGCAATAACTTACTTGATGTATTGCCTTTTTTCAAGTTATATATTCTCGCTTTTCATAGTTTGTTCCTGACAAACTCATTCGAATTGATGGGCTAAAATAGTGTGAAACAGACTTCGTACTTGTTTTTCGACCTGTTCGGTTCATTTTCAGCAGAATTGATAAATTTTTCACATATCTTCTGCGTTTTTTCAGACACCGATAGTCTGTCTGTTCTTACTTATAAATAATTCAAGTTTTGATGTAATTTGTTCCAAGAATTCACTTACCCTTTTTATTTTATTATCAGAATCGGAAGCAGAAACTGCGAATATACTGCAAATATTGTGAAGTTGCTTTTTCAGATGACACAATTATTCTATACACTTGGATACTGATAGACATATACGTAATTTTAAACGAAGCTTCAATTCAAATGAAGATAAGAGAGTTAAAGCGAAATCTCGAAGTGATTACCGTAGAAATATAGTAAGCCATTTTGTTCTAGCTTAAATTTCACTTTTATTATAATAAATGTACTCGCCTTTTTAAATGCATAAACTTCAATGTCGGTCTTGTCAGTTCGTCTGTATTGTATTTTAAGATTCTAGTCTCACTTGTTATGGAGTCAGTATAGTATACTCTGCGAATAGTACAAGTGTGGCTCATTGGTTTAGCGATATGGCTGTCAACCACTGGTCGCGAGTTCGAATCCCGCCCAACCTACTAAGATCTGGGCAGCCAGGTAGTGTCACTAGCCCTCCCGCAATAGATGTGGCTTATTGGCTGGTGCACGAGTATATACAAGGTTGCTGAGTCCTCTATGTATGCCTCTATACTTTAACTGTATGAATAGCACTATGATTATATGTCGTTTATGTTGGAAACTCGATAGTCAATATGGTTAACCATGTAGTATAATCGTGGTTATGAATACGTCAGAAAGTTGTTTGTTATTTCACTTTGCCATATTCTCATTTCTATATGTTTCAAAACTTTAGAATAGGAACCGAAAACCGAATTTTCACTGTGAAGATTGCAAACGGTCATTTCAAAAGAAGGATCAGTATCTTGATCATATCACTACTGAAGGACATATGAAAAAACCCGATCGTAATAAAAATGATTCGGATGATGGAGAGTCTGTAAGTGAAAACTGTTTTTATTTATTTGTCGATATGTATGGTCACATCTTGTAAGGCTTCATTATCTGAAGTAGCCTTTGTCTTCAAATTGTTTATTTTCTCGCACAACTTCGTCTACTTCTGTGTCTTTTTTTTCTATCCACCTGTTCTCTGTATATTTCTGTGAAGTGTGGCAGCTTGAGTTAGTCCATCTATATGCGCAAGGTTCTACGTTGATTTTGTCTGTCTGCCGTTAGCCATCACATTGAACTTATATGTGACTAAAGTACGTGTAACATCATCACTCACCGTATGAGCCAATTGGAACAGGTTTCGTTCGCATTCATTACATCACAGATTCAGGTTGTACCCCATCCATTCCTGACAGTTGTGTTAAACATTCTATCTCATCAAATCTCCTCAGGATGGACATTTCCCAATTATTAATAAGTGAGGTAAATTTTTTTAACAACAACTTCTATTCGTCATATCACCACCATCTAGCCAGGCTGTTCTGCTTTGTAGTTTTCTTGTTTGTAGCAATAAGCACCAACTGAAGTAAATACCCTATTTTTAACTCTAGTTATTGTAGGATCACACTGTCGTTAGCGGAGAACACAATAAATGTCCATTACAATCGTATGTACAGTGAAAATTTGTTCGCTTGTGCAGTTTGTATTATTGAAAATATTGGAGAGTTTTTCATGCCACAATTGATCGCTATATCCAGTGGTTATTGTCTATGAACTCAATTATATGATAATAACTTTATATTGTTCATATATGTGACTTTAATCCGTATTATCTTTATGATTGCACACAGATAAATAAGTCCAAGTATTAGATTGCTTTGCATATTTTAGGATCATTGATAATTGACAAGTTAGATTCAAAGTGTTCTAAGCAGGTGTTACTACAGTTAATATATAGGCTTCCTATATTATTTTAGACTCCTTTAATTCAAAACTTAGGTGCTTATTGGCACCATCTTAAAAATTGATTCGCTTCCTGCAAGATATCTGGCTGAACTAAAGAATACAGACAAATTCCGATTTAGCACTCCAACAGCCTCTGGAACACTTACCGACCCCCCAACACTTGCAGTATTTTTTGACCCAAAAGCGGCGTTTGTCTCCGTTGATCGAGAGGTTTTATGACAATGCTTCTCACTGAAACACGTAATGAATAAGTATGTCACTTTATTAAAGTCTCTGTACTCAAACGTCCGTGTACGTGTTACTGATCATGGCGAGTTGTCAGCTGAACGGTGTCCTTCGGGGAGGTCCACTCTCTGCGTTCCTCTTGTGGAGGTCTCCCTCTCATAACTTCACTTTACAGGGATCGATGTAATCACAAGAGAATCCTTGGTGGATCTAGAGTACGCAGATGAAAGCCGTTTAAGGTGAAGATTCTGACAAGATGGAGAATCTTTTGGACACGTTGAGTGGCAATTGGAGAATGTTCGGGGTGCATTTCTCACCACCTAAGTGCAGGCTGCTGCCCCAGGACTAGCTTCAGCGTACTGCACTGTATTTCGCTTCATTTTACTGTATGGTTGTGAGAAGTATCCGTCAAAGGTAAAGAGAACATGAGAAGGCTGCATGTATTTGACCACCGTCGCCTTCGTAGCACAGGATGCATGTGTCTTGGTGTCACTACGTGAGTAACGCCTATGTAGAGTTTTAGGGAGGAGAAGAAAGTCAGTTGGACTGAGATGGTCAGGACATGTGTTGGGCATGCCTAGCCACCGTCCACCTTGTCACACAATATTAGCTGAAGCAGGTCCAGGTTAGAAAAATGTTAGAGGCCAGAATAATACGTGACACCAGTGCATAAAGTTTTTGATTGTTGTCCTGTTCTGAGCTGTGTATGGGTATGGAGACTTCCCGGTTGTGATGCACACGACAACGGCAATCAGTGGTTAGAGAGCCTAGGTGATGTGGTTGGGAATCGTTATCAGTAGCCCAGATGTGTATCCTCATACGAATCGTTCTACTGAATTCATTATTTTCGTATTCCTCCCCCTCTCTTTTACTACTTTCTACTGCTTTTGTCCGATTTTCTTCTCTTTCTTCATCTTTCATTTTACCACTTTGTTACTTGATGTGCTGCTATGAGGCATAGCAACTTGAACCGTTACTCATTAATACCTGGTTCTATGATGGCATTGTTGATGGTGATGCTGATGATGAAGTAGTCCGATTTCAGAAAGATGTTGACAAAGTGCCCAGCTTTCTAAATGGTTTAAAGAGAAATCGGGGTATGTTTGGAATGCGTTTTCCAAGTGTCAAGTGTAAAAAAATGTAAAAAATGTGAACCGATAAGAAGTGAAATCATAGGATACATTATCACTTCGCTTACTTTCGGAGTCGTCTAAACCCAAATGGTCTGGCTACTACCAAATTTCAGTTCAGATTCAAATAACTCGTTTGACATTTGTTGATATTCGACTACCTATTAGAAGACGAGTTTATTGCACAGAAATTCCTCTATGTACGACTGAGTCAGTCGTTGGAAGTAGGGTACCTTTGTAGCGGTGCTTGTGTATGAAGGAATCACCATGAAATCAGTGTTAAGGTTAGGTATAGAGTACTAAGCCACTAGACAAGTCATTAGTTGAAGTTGATGACCCCCACCCCCTATCTCAATATGCAATGCCAATTGAAGTAGAATTGGTTGACCAGATGTGGCACCAGTTCATGAAGTCTCAACTTGTTAATCTAAACCATGTAGAAAAAAGGTAGACTGTCTAGTTCGGTTCCTAAAAACATGAATCAATGGTTGGGAATTCTGGGTGACGCGACTCAAAGTCAGTGGCATTAGCACAGATGTATTTACTCTTTGACATCATTGAAAGTTTGGTCATTTTCACCAACATTCGTTTTTTTCTTCTTCTCACCTCCCATACACTCGTTTACTTGAATGCCATTTTACATTCCCATATGCCTATTGTTTGTTATATGGTGCTGTGAAGTGACTCACTCGTGTACTGTTTCACGTTGATTTGTCTTCCTACATAACTACGAACTATTCGATTTGTTTTTCTTTTGTTCAACCAAAAAAGAGAAAGGCCTCGAGACGTACAGATTATTGTGATGTATGTGAACAGGCCTTCCAAAATAGCCGTCACTTCTATGCTCACTTGAAATGGAAGAAGCACAAACGTCTGTGTAGAGTAACTAGACTGTTGAGAGGACAGCTAAAGAAGACACCCGAAGAAATTGCTAGTGATCCAGTTGGTTCATTCACATTATACATGAACAAAGGTAAGTATGATCTCTTCAGAAATGATAAATCTCCATATTTTTTGCTCAAGTTATTACTCACAAACTGTTCGATAAAGCTCTCAACTTCGTCTACAATCTTATACTTAATGTAGTTCTATTCTCCTCATTGGAAGTCTTTCGAATTCATGGTATTCGAAAGTCAGTGGATAACGACTTACGGACTTGCTATCCTTCTTGTTTAACTAATTAGATATCTCTTGGAGGTATCATAGTTGATGTAAGCTGCTGACGGAGTGTTCTTGTGTCTATAATGTGCATGAAGTGCTTCGAACTATGTATTATTTAATGTTTTGTATAATAATAATAATTTGATGCTTCAAGTTATTTTATCCAGCTTTACTGCATATACAATGTAACTAGTGTTAGGAGAATCAGGTGTGTGTCCCACTCTAGTGTTGTAACTTTAAACCCGACTAAATCGACATACCATACAATAAATATGCCTTATGTTTTTGTGAACACTGAATACATATGTTTTTTTTTAAACTTAGCACACTCTGTATCCAAGACTGTGAAAACAATTGAAATCCCAAGGAAATATTTATTAACTTTCATGGTTGTATTCCCCCCCCCCCGCACCTTGGATTTACTTCATTAATCGGCTGATTATGATCTATATTCAAACCATTCCCCTTAGTGATAGGGAAGGGGGGGCTGTTTATTTGTTATGCATTATTAGTGTGTAGTATTCCACTTGATTTCTTCATAATCATCATTAAATTATAAATTCTTCGATAGTCCGTTTACACTGAATTTTTAATTTTAAATTCTGTTACAGACTGCTCTGTTCCATATGGGAACTATGGAGATTGTAAGGAAGTCGAATTGGATGCTGGAAATGCATTTTTGCAAAAATTCCTCGACTTGAAACATTTAATCGCTCAAGAACCGAATCCAGTTGGCGAGGAATTTATTCAGGAGGTAGGTTGAATGTGGAAGACATTCACCGAAAACTTTAATTCTTGACTGCCTCATTGAATAACAACCTGGGTTACTTGAGACGATCGACAGTGATATAATCAGATCAGTATCTGTCGTTCAATAACTATTTTTAGTTGTAAGTTGAAGTTGTTGACTAAAAGCGCTTCTACAACTGGACAAAAAGGTCTGCCTATCATTAGGCTTTCATGCCTACTATCTATTAGCCATCACATTGAAACAGTGAAGATGCGCTTTATAGTTAGCTGAAAGTTAGCAATAAATCTGCCAATCTTTTCTTATTTATTATTACTAGAGTCTTGGTCATCCGCGCAGTTATGTATTGGATTGTTGTGCTATTCAACTGCAAAAAAGCATATAGAATAAAATTAGAGAGAGAGAAAAAAATAATGAGTAAACTAGTCACTGCATATAATTTAGCGTCACAAACAACAAGTGTAAAGTTGTTTTTAACCCTAAAACATTGGACCAGTCTTGCATGTTGGCGAAAGTGTATGGCTCTCCAAATTTCTTAACCTATTCTATGCATATATGTGTATGTGTATGTATGTGTGTGTGTATACACATAATACATACAACATGAAATTGTTGCATTGTCATATATGCTGACCAACTTGGATATCTGGGTAAGTCACCGTTTTTGTGTGTTGTGATAGGTAGAGGCAACTAGTTAATGAAAATGATGTTTGAGCATTTCTACTGCATATTTTTTTTCATGCTTATATCTTTTTGTACATGGTCTTCCTGTGCATTCCATTGTGTTCAAACTTGCCAAACACTTGTGTACACAGAAGTATCATGCCTTTATATTAGCATCAATGATATCTTATTCTTCTCAACTCATACACTGATCTCAGTGATCTGATAGTTGAAACTCTATCATCTCTATAACAAGTGCTATATTCATTCGTGACGACAAGAATGACAAGATCGGGGGGGGGAGGCTTTTCGCGTAGGCGTACATGGAATGACTTTCCGCTACGCCAATATCTGGTCGTATGTCTCAGTTGTTATACCATTGTGTAACAATAGTTTTTATTGCAAAGTCGAAACAACAACCATTATATAGTGAATCGGATACCCATTTGATGTGCTCTAAATCTTCCACAGATGCACTACGATTTGAAGTTTGTTTACCATAGGGAACAAGTGAATATAGTTATTAAGACAGTATATAAGATTTCATATGAAATCATTTAGTATCTGCAAAGAGAATAGTGCGATGTATGGAGAATGATAACAAGCACACACACACACACACACACAAGTGAAGAGAATAATAAAATAAATGCGTAGCATTGCAGAACAAGTCCTTAGTGACTTTCTGAAATAGAGGAGTCATACACTTGGCACACAATCTGTGCTGTTCTTCTCTCCTTTATCCATCTTTCTATCACCTTCAACTGCCATGATCACTCATGTGAAAGTATTGCGTCATATTATCTCCTTTGTATATACCAATCAATTTTTTTTACTGTCTTTAAGACTATCTGTTGAGGACTCAAGGCACACTAAGTGAATTCGATTCATCCTATGATGCTTCTTACTTCTAAAGGAAACTAATTGTATGAAATGGTCTTTCTCGTTAACTATGCTATCCTTCTGTCTCGCCGCTTGTCTTAAGGAATATTTTGTTCATGTTGTATCTATGTCCAAAAGGGCATTAATACCTAACCTGTTAAGTAGGAATTATCCAATTCGCGGTTTTATTTATTGATTTCACGTAGACATTCATCATGGACTGAAATCAGGAAGAGAAAAATAGGAAAGCTAGGAGCGCTGGACGGCTGTTTCATCCAGGAATGGGACACCCCAGCAGCAGTGTTCACGCATGACCTGGCCGGGGATCGAACCCGTGGTCTGGTTCCGCATCCAGCACGTTGCCACTGAGGCCCCACTGGGTTCACCTTCTCTTGATTCCGTTAGTTCACTACGTAGCTCTGTCCAGGGCTCCCAGGTTTCCAATGTTTCCCCAATCGATGTTAGTCCATGAATACCAACTTGAGCAAGAATTGATGGGTTTATATCATTCTTCTAGCAGATGATTTCTCAATCACACTTCCGACGGGATAAACTAGGACTTCCTGTCACCTTCAGTTGCTTGTACTTTATGATTATTATTATTATTATTGCTGTGTATTAATCGGTCTAGCTCACAGCTAATTATTTGTCTGTCATATATCGTTTTTATTTCCTGATCTATTCTTGTCAATTTAGCAAGTGTACAATACACGAGATTTGGAGTACACCTGTTCACTGTGTAAACTTGATCTAATTGGTGCCATTGATATTGAAAATCATTTACGCAGTCAAAATCATCAGAAGAAATACAAGGAGAAGTTCAATTTGGAACAGTTTGCATTTGAAGAAGAAATGAAATTGTCTGCATCGGACGCAGTTTTTGCTGTATGGAAAACATGCCAGTCTAGAGCTAGTAAAGTCAGTATTCTGTTCTACGCTTTTACTCAATACATTGTCTTACGTAATAATTTCAGCTTTACAAACTGTAGTTGTCAGCATCGATGTGTACCCGGCCATTGATGAGTGACCCCTCCATGTTGCCACACTTCATGTCAGCCCTTTAGGGCAGAACGAAAAATATACGACAAATAAGGAAGAGAACAGTGAGTGCTAGAAGGTTATAGAAAGAAATGAGAAGGAGCATAACAGTAATGAAATTAGCTATGACTGTTTAGGTGAAAATAATCTGTGGGTGTATTTGCATCACTGAGATCCATTCTGAGCCTAACCACTCAGAGTTTCCAACCATTGGTCTCAGTTGCCATGTTAATACCAGCTGGAAAGCTGACAGTTTCATTTTGACTACCTGAGATACCCGTAGCCCGGTAGACTAGTATTGATACCGTACGATGATTGAAAATGAAAGGAAGATTTTGACCTCGGCGGGGTTCGAACCAGCGACACACCGGGTTTCCGGTTCGATGCTCTACCAACTGAGCTGCGAGTTCCGACTGCTGACCAAGTTTTTATTTCGCTTTAATCATCAAAGGCTTTGCCCAATTATCATGTGAATTCGTGACGTGTTACTGTCGCTTGATCGTACTCATACCGGCTACCCGCAGTCAGAACTTTCCATCGCAATTTAAGTGTGACTGAATAAGAGCGTCATATTGATTATCATTCCGACTGAGAGGGGCAGCTCCGTTTGGCAGATTAGTATTGACACAGCTCAGATAAGCGGTCTAAGACTTCATACACTGATGTCACTTTTTAATCTGACCACCTCTAACCATTCCTAACCTGAACGCATTTCAGCAAACATTGTGTGGGAAAGTAGACGATCAAGTATAGGGAACACATAATAGTCGTCTGAGTTTATAGCGGTTCACAACCTTATCAACTAACCTTTCTCTTCTACCTAATACTCTGTATCCAAATCCTACATTACTGACACGTGGTGGCGCTTTGACACAGCTTATGATGCTAAATTAAAATTGATGGGACATATGAAGCCTTCTAATGTCCTCCAACTAAAACTGTCACATTTCGCAGTAACATTGTGGCGCCGCCGCGATATCTCACTGTCTATTAAGGGTCGAATGTACTGTGCTTTAGTCCGCTCTGTTCTACTGTATGGCTGCGTAACATGCACATTAAAGGTAAAAGACATGAGAAAGTCTTAAATATTTGACCACCAGTGCCTTCGTAGCATAGGCCGTGTTTCGTGGTGTCACCATGTGAGTAACACAGAAGTCAAGACGTAGAGTTTTAGGGAGAAGAGGTAAGACAGTTGGCGCACTTGTAAACCTTCATCGACTGAGATAGTTGGGACATGTGTTACGTATATCTAACCACCGTCGACCTCGTCACACAATGTTGGTCGAAGTAGGTCCAGGCTGGAAAAGTGCTCAGAGTGACCAGACTAAAACATGCCATCAATGCATGAAGACCTTGACTGTTGGTTTGAGCTATGAATGTAGATGCAAACTAGGCGGCTGGGGTCCACGGGACAAGAGAAACTGGTTGGAGACTGACTCAAGGTGATATGGCTTAGAACCAGTGTAGGTGGTGCAGATGCCTACACAGATTATCCTAATCTCAACCGTGATGTGTTGATATGAAGTGTTGCAACTTGGACGGTTACGCAGTAACACCTGGTCGTATATTGATCTTCTTGGCGATGATGATGCGGAACTGATGGATAAGTCAAACTTTTCATTTTCAGTGTACGACCGGTCTCCTTTTATTCACTCAGGTTACAAGATTAAAAGCCATTGACTTTTGTTTACAACTACAGTCCTTAGTTGTTTGTTTGTAAGACATGAAAGCAGCCATCCGATATTCGCAATGACTTATCGTTTATCAGTCTGTTGTTATTTTATTTTTCTCTTCTCATTAACTCACCACTTAAAACAATCTATAGCGTTATGTGTTTCTTTTAAAGTAACGTTTTTCTGACCTGTGTTTTCTTGAAAACAGGAATTAGCGCGAATTATTTCAGATAAAGGATTTCATTTATGCATTTGTGGCTTCCGTATTACATGCTACGATGATATGAGAAGACATTTTCCAATAAAATACTACGACATTCATCCACGAATCCGTTCATGGAAGAAAAGTTTAGAGAAATGTATTCGTTCACGTGCTGATCGTCGTAGAATTGATTATCGGGATTGCTATGTAAGCATTTTGTTCTTGTCCAATGTTCACGTTTTGCATATATATAAATAATCCCAGTTACTTTTGTTCATGTTTATTTGCTTTTTGTATTTCATAGAGTGGTGGAATACGATTTGTGAAACGTGTTTCAGTTTGTGAAAGTCGTCTGAGTATATTGACTATCTTTTGAACATGGAGACCACTTATGGTGTTCAAGAGTGGACATCGATTAGGGAATAACTGCTTTCTTGTTTTTCAATATTTCTAATAATTGCGATGTACATGCATCGTAAAATCTACTTTGAAAATCTTCATTTACGTCGACAAAGTCCACTGCAGTAGCGAGAAACTGTCAAATAATTCCTATCGCACAACAAAACTAGGGGGGGGGGGTTACCATACTCTTATCTTACAGCTCTGTGTTATTTCTTTTGGTGTTCAACTTAACCTTCTCAAGCACGCCTCGCTACTACTTCATTGTCAGTGTTTAGACAAGCAACTGGTACCACCGATAACTACATCGTAGATGTTGTTCACATCCTAGTGTGCAACTTCATACCCAAAACCCTTCTGTAACTACAAGAGTGCTTTTCTCAGGCTTTCTGTAGAAAACAGTCGTGTTGAAAGTATCCTACGCGATATTATTCACTGGATTGTGAGTTCTTTATCATTTATAACTACTTTTTAGGGGAGTACATTGGGTGTATAAACGCATTTTCACGTCAACGGTTACACTCATCCGATTACTCGATTGGCATCAAACACGTTGGTTACTAACTTCGCCATTGTCCTTGTCTTTTGGGTCAGTGTGTATCAGCAACATTATTATTATTATGTCCCTTGGGTTCCTAGTGGAACATAAGACTTCAGTGGCGCGTCTCCAGTGCACTCTGTTCTCTGAAATCTTTTGAACCTGGCTCCTCGACAGCCCACAAGCTCTCATTTCCTCCTCGCACGATCTCCATGTCACTCTCGGACGCCCAACTCGTCGTTTACCATCCTCGTTCCACTCGAGCAACTGGCGTGGCACGTGATGTCCCTAGTCGGCCTTCTCAGTGTATGCCCAGTTCAATCCATCTCCACTTTTTTTTTGCATATTTCTTGAGCGATAGGTTCTTGGTTGGTTCGTTGCCAACAGGTCACCATTTGTAATCGATTACACTTTTCTTTTTACATTTCAGACTATTTTAACATTGTTTGGTCTACCCAGTCACATAATTGATATGAAAAGGGAGCAAGCTTTAGAGGCAGCTAAGGCTAAACTACTCGAAGAACCGAGTAAGGAGGATTCAACAGAAGGTGGTCAGAAGGATGATGAAGAGGATGATGAGGAAGAAAATGACGATGAGGAAGAAGAGGAAGAGACCAATCCATCGAAAACAATTGACAAGTCAACTAAAGAGTCCGCACCAAATATCGAGAGTCTGAATGAACAACAACTAGAGTCATCTTAGTTATCGTTTTTGGTTGTAAAAAAAGAAGTGTCTTCATTTAGTTAATTTGACAATGAAACATACCATTCTTACTGCTATCAATTGCTATTTAAAGTGTCGTTTATTCGCCTGTTCGTTAATTGTTTTCATTTATCTCTCCCATAAAGTAATATGTTTTTCCTTATTTATGCAATACGCTTTTGAAGTCTGCGTTGACAGGAGTAACTTCTCAATTCTGAGTTGCAGTCTTACAAGTTCACTTGCCTCCGTTTTGGTATATATTGCGTCAATATAAGGATATTCTAATGTACTCTTACCTCTATCCGCCAAGGTAAAATACACCTAGTTGGTTGAATTCCTGTCAAGCATATACAAATGTGTTTTCTGTTCGGATAATCAGTAGCTAACAATAGCCCATATCGTACTCGTTACTGGTTGAGCAGGTTATTGGATTTATGAGAACTATAAATTTTCCGAAAGCTCTTGATCTAAAACGAGTATTCCTGACTTCTTGGTCCTACCTTGACGTGGTGGTCAGACTGAAATAACACAATGATCCAACAAACTGCACTGACTGGAAAGCTTGTTCCCTCGAGGTTCTACCGTGATGGAATGGTCTGTGGGATAGTGGTAAGGCGAGAAGTAGTTACCGTTATTGTGTAAACTACTACGCTATGAGGGTCTGAAGGCGATATCGTACTGCTGACTAGATGGAAGTGTGAGAACAGTAAGGTGTACTCCACGGACGACCAGCAATACTATCCTTAAGCTGCCTAGGGAATAAGAAATGTTGGTCCTAAAAGCAGCACGCTCGCTGCCGTGCACTGTTCATGTTCTGGCAGTATAAATCTAACTGGTGTGAAAACAATCAAGCAACATATCAGCCATCCTCCAAAGGCTGTGTGTGACTTGTTTGGAACAGATGCCTTATGGGATCTGTGGTCATACGTCTTTTTCCCTTTCAAAAGAAGTGAAACACGTCGTCTTTTTGTAATTCTTAAATACGCGCCCACTTAATGTAGTTCGGATGCAGTGAACGATGAATCATACCGATAACTGTATAACCTTCTACTGAAAGTCAAACGTTTAAATGTGGTTGTCGTTACTGGTGATTTCACTGCATAGGTGGAATTGGCCAGGTAAGGGTGCACCCAAACTCATCTCTTCAGGTTCCGAGCTCAGCGAAAGGCGGAAGCAACTCAAATGCAGTCTGACAAGACGTCTACGCCATGACTGAGAATGGTGATGATCAACGAAAGCTAAGGAGGTGGAAAAGGACGCGGTGATGGCTAACAGTAGAAAGCTAGTTGAAATTGTCAAGAAAGCTGTGGTAATAAGTTCAGTAGTTTTAGTGAGAGTATAACGGATAAGTTTGGATCTGTAGTTCACTCGGTACGATGAACAATCAAACTGATATCATTATCCTCTATCCTGAAAAGGACACCGAGAAAGGACCCAACACATAGAAGATGAGGTAGTTGTAATTAGTCTGGAACGACGAAGAGCAGGCGGATTAGTACCTGATGTATTTGAGGCTGAGGGTAGAGGATTACTGGTCGAATTAATTGAATTGTTAATTTGCCTATGGAGTTGAAATATGATCTCTCCCGACTGGTCTCAATCACTGATTGTGAGCTTCCCTCTTCTGAGGATCACACGGAAATCAAACTAATAAACATAGTGTCTGCTATTCTAAATTATGCTATCATTAGATTTAGAAGTAGTATTCATTATGGACTGACATCAGTTGGGGAACCATTGAAAAGCGGTAACGAGCAAGTGCATAACTGTTGAGGCTTGTGTACACGAACATCTCTAGCCATGTTAAACACTGGTGAGTTATGTGGGTTGAATGGTGTTTTTCAATAATGTATAGTCCGTCCTTATCCACCTTTACTGTGAACATACCTTCGGTGGACCGCATCGTTGACTGGCCTCACAGAGACTCATCTAATCTAAAGAAAATCCCTGATAGATCTGGAGTATACGGGTGACATCATCCTGTTGGCTGATTGGGAAAGTCAACGTGGAACTTCACGCATGCGTACACCGGCTCGAGTTGCCACACACTACAGTAGCACACAAAAATTAAACGAGAGTATAGGTAATTTGGAGATAACGGTCAGTGCAAATATTCAAGTTTTATAATATATCAAAGAGCGTAAACATCTGCGCCATTTTGACAAGATCCCAACCATGTCATCAAAGGTTCTCAACTACTGATCCCTTTCGTCTCTTGGACCCCAGCCAGGTGGCTTACATCTTCCAACCCGCTTAAAATCAGCAGTTAGAAAATTTCATTGACTGGCTGTACGTTTTGGTCTGACCACCCTGAACCAACGTCCCTTAGCATCGCACGTAAAGATGGGTGGTAACTCGGCATGCTCAGGACATATCCAAGCCATCTCAACCGACTAAGGTTCACAACTTTATTCGTCAACTTGCCTGCTCACACGATGACTCTGCCAAACGCGAGCAGAGATACGAAGACATCTGTGAATAAAACCCTGCACCTGCTTCATTTCTTCTAATTCTAGCTACCATTTCTCATAGCGTTTTAGGAGGACGGAATGGATCGTAGCGCAGTTTACTCGTTCATTGGTAGATAATTGGATATCTCCCCGGTCGGTGTCATGGATGATCCAGGTTAACAAACGGCAATCCGAACTAAGATCTCGTCAGCAGCCACCCTGTTAGAGTTCATGCAACTCTTCAAGGAAGTGAAGCGGTTGGTACATTCCACCTCTTCACTCCTTATCATTAAATTGCAGACCAGTCCTGGAGCAACATCTTACATTTGGCAGATGCCAGCGAAACATAGATTCCTGCTCAATGCGCTCACAAGATCCTACATTTTGTCGTCGTCTGTGTACTCCACGTCAACCAGATTACATCCAGGGTGTAAGTCAATCCCTTTGAAGTCAGATGTACCCAGAGTTGTGTCCTTTGGGACTTCTGTGACGAAGTTGAGTTGGGACGGTGACAACCGACGTCACTGGCGAACACGTAGTTATCGTCAACTCACATGACAACCTCCTACAAGCCTTGGCACGATTGTGCGACTTCTAACAGGGCTTCGATTACCGTGATAATGGTGAGACACTGCCTCACCACCTCAGGAGTCCAATGCTACCGCCTTCAGGTCACAGTATGTGGTAGGTATATATGTGTCCCAGAACCTGTCGGAGGGTAACATGGTCGATGCGCCCTCATCCAGGTCTCTGAAGCCCACCTGGTTTTCTCGAGCTCCAGTTAGGCGTCGGATAACTATAGACCCTAGGATCTTGGATACAAGGTTAGTCAAACTGGTTCCCCTATGGCTATCAGCAGAAGTCTTCTCGCCGTTCCTATAGACTGGGATGATAAGTGGAGTACACCAGTCTGACGTCACAACCACTGATTCCCCATACACTACCTAGTATCTCCGTCACTTTGATTAGCAATTTCCTGCCTCCATCCTTTTAAACGACAAACTGTCGGGTTCTCATGCTTTGCATCGCTTCGGGTTCAGTACAGCTTTCTCAACTTCAGGGATATTTGGAAGACTGATATCTGCGTCCTCCTCAGGCTGGGTGTTTGACAGCCGGAGCGTTGCTGAAGGATAGCTGGGTTGTGCTTCAGAATATTTTGCCCAACATTCTAGCCATCCGCCCTTGGAGGATGCCAACGTCTCGTCCTTTGCTGTGATGGTTTCACTGACCAACGTCTTCTTTTTCCCAGTATTCTTAATAAGCCTTTACAGTCAATGAAGTTGGATTTTTTCGACTGATATCTCCTAGAGGTTTGATAGGACGTTGAATGACTGCCTACCTCATTATTCTATGTTGGCTTAACTTGGATGTGGTTAGATGACTGCTCCGAGAGGCCAATTTAATAATTCTAGAGTAAATGAAGCTAGCTGGTTTGGATCGTCCAGCTACATTTTACGATTCTGTTTGGGGTCCTCTAATTAATTAGTCAGTTGGTTACATTCTTGGTGACATTACTGGAATTCGTTCACAGCGGTGCGACTTCGAAAGTTTGGACATTTTTCTTCATTGTTCTCTCATATACCTGTTCTATCTGCCGTAACATCCTAATATTTCTGTCTACTTATTCTTTGTACGCTTCCACGTTTCTTGTTTATTACTCTCTATGTCTCAGAGTGAGCGGATAAAAAGGAAAAGATGCAAACAAAATGCAGAGGTTAGCGCGAATCAATGAATGTTCGGAAACGTATAAAAGAGTTTTCTCCTAGGCCTTTTTTGAACCTGCCCTTCAACTGTATTAATCATTGTTATCGTCGATTATTGATGTCCTTACAGACCTCGGAATACTGGACGTCGATTAACAGTTCAGTGTATGCTAGTCGTTGCCAAACTCGATTTAATGTCTCGTGGTTCTGTCTCTACTACATCCTCAAATTAGTCAGTGACTCAGCATCCGTAACTTGTGCTCTCAGTCATTTCAGTTTCTGACATTTTCCACCTTTTTCTGTCTCACTTTTATTCAACCAATGCGTAGTTCCAACAATGGTTGAGGATCTAGTCTGTAAACTTCCTTAATTCGTCTGCTTTTTTCGCCCTTAGTTGCTCATTATATTATTATTATTAGTCCCTTGGGTTCCTAGTGGAACATAGGGCTTCAGTAGCACGCCTCCAGTGACCTCTGTTCTCTGAGATCTTTTGAACCTGGTTCCACGACAGCCCACAGCCTCTCATTTCCTCCTCGCATGACCTCCTCCATGTCACCCTCGGACGTCCAACTCGTCGCTTCCCATGGGGATTCCACTCGAGGGCCTGACGCGTGATGTCCTCAGTCGGCCTTCTCAGTGCATGGCCAATCCATCTCCACTTCTTCCTGCATATTTGTTGCGTGATAGGTTCTTGGTTGGTTCGTTCCCAGAGTTCCTTGTTGCTTATTTTTTCTGGCCATCTGATCTTCAGCAGCGAGCGTAAGCAGTTGTTGATGAATGTCTGTAGTTTATTGGAAATGCCTTTCGTGACGCGCCAAGTCTCTGAGCCATACAGAAGCACTGACTT